ATATAACTAGTTCTCACCATAATGTCTTTAAACCTCCCAAACTCTTCAGAAAAATGCATATGGAGCTTTAAAGAACTTTTTCCTCCTGCTTTGGGGCTTATCTATTGAAAGAAACTGGTCAGGTTTCATCAGACCTGCTCTCAGCAGGTGATACTGATTACTAGAATTCCATTGTTTTCCCTGTCACTTTTCTCTGGAGGAAGGCTGCATTCAAAGCAAAATGATGTGTGCATTCAAGGACATTTGCACTCACTCTTTGTTCTATTCCTTTATACCTATTCCAAGTATTTCCTAATTGATAGGGCAGGCTCACAGGACATCAACCGAGATACTGGTTTTACACCCATTTTTCCACATGGTCAATCAACTTCTATCAGTTATTTTCAGTCTCACAACATAAAATATATTCCAGGAGCTATTTTGTATCATCTCACTGGACGTGGAAAGCACAGAGAACTCAGCATTGTTGCTAGTAAAGTGTTAATTTAAGCTCACATCATGTGCAGATCCCTTTGCTAATGGACTGTAACATTCAGTTTCTTATTTGTATTCTGGCTTTTTTGGGGCCACACTAAAGATAAACCTGGTCCAGCATCTCATACACTGTATTTACCACCTTTTACCTCTTTCTGAGGTATTTGCAGATCAGTTCAGCAAATTTCCTGTTTCAGAACATAAGAGGAGGAAGTATTTCACTGTGTTTTTACAAAGGAAAACTTTAGATTTAAAACTCAGAAGTTAAAGGCTGCTTTTCTTTCAGGCAGCTTTTCCAACTAATAGGAACATTAGAGATCAACTTTTAATTTCTGAGCAACTCATATCACAAGATATCAATGACATTACTATCTGTATACCATAGCATAGATAGTAGCATTTAAGTACCTATAAAATAGATACTTGAATTGATTTTATCTCTATAGGCAGCTGTACATAGTCATGTAAATGTAAGAGGCTAATTTCATTTAATTTGTTTCACTGCTTGTCAGCTGTAGAATGTATTCTCTGTTGTTACAGTGACAACCCAGATTCTTTGTGGAACTGTACCTATAAACATGCAATTTAAATTCTTACCTGTCTTTATAGACATTTTTTAGGAACATCCCCTTCCTGACCCACTGTGACACATTCTGAACACTCACAGCTCTACCTGGAGAGAGCAGAAACAGTTTGCAGGTAACCAGGAGAATCGTAAGCTGATGGCATTCCATGTTTTTTGCCTCTTTTTTCTCTGAGGACTAAAAGTGTTCTTTTGGCAAGGGCAAGGAATGAGGGCCAGAATCCAGCACTCAAGTGTCTATTTCTAATTATGCCAACTAAACTGGGAGTTCTATTTGCATGAGGTGACAAAATCAGTGTACAAAATTGTCCTTATGTTGATAGCCATACATAGAAACACATGCAGTTATGCCCACATTCATTTTTAGGGATTCACATTAAAGCACATCCAGAAATATTTATAGCATCTTGGGAGGGGGAATCTCGCATCCTTATTAGTTTTCTTTGCTCACATCTTAAGTTCTTCTACCAAAGCAGAAATAGATTTTTCCTGTCCACACCAGTTCGTAAAATTGTTTTCATTTCAAAGGACACTGCAGTTTTTCAGTATTTCCCATGAAGAATGATCACACAGTTGGTTTTCCTCTTATAACTGCTTCATGCTGCTCCATAAATGACAGTGGGAAGTATTATAAAATCAAAAGGCTCGTTTGCTGCTAACATCCTTACAACTCAGTTTCTTGCAGGAGAGAAAATGGAAGGCTTTAGGAACGATTTTGAGCGCCTGCAGTTCTCATTTTCATCAGTGGGAGGTGTAAGTTTATAAAGCTTCTTGAAAGCCAAGCGCCTGTCTCAGATCCCGAGTTTGGGTCTCTCTGGGCTTAGTGATTACAATTGCCGCAGAAGCGGTTAGAGCCCACAATGAGTTCTTGTAGGGGTAACGCTGTAGCCATTACACTGCGGTCTCATCTGCTTATGTGCGGGAGCACAATTTGTGCATCTCACAGTTTTACACTAGTATCAATCTGATGATAAATCTACATAACGTTTGCAAGTATTTCTGCATATTTTTACCAATTCCACCACTCCTTTTCTTCCTTTCTTGTCTGCCTGGAGAGCACCCTGTTAGCTGCCCCCTCCCTCCAGTGCACTTTTGCCCAGAGACCATAGTCAGACCAATGATCCCCAATACCCACCCCAAGAAGCACATTTCACAAAAATTAAGTACAATTTCCACAGAAAATAAAACCAAATAGCATCATGAAAGAATACCTGCAAAGAGAAGGCACGAGCCTTTCTGCTGTACCAGCTCCTTAACTGGCAACATGAGCTTCCTTTCTTTCTCTCTATAGCTTTAAATATTAGCTGTTGACACACTGTACTTGCACAGTTCTTTCACGAACCTGCTCAAAACAAATGGATTAGTTTAATTTCAGTTTTTCCAGAAAATGGTATAAACCTGAAAGATTATTTCTGGATTGGAGTAAGCTCATCCAGAAAAACACATGCATAGAGTACTAAACAGAGAGTAGAATACAATATAGGTTAATGTTTCTATTGTTAGGAAAACACTGATACCACAGTCAAATACAGTCGGTTTTGTGGCATTATTAAAGGCAGGAATAGATCCATAGAGTGGGGTATGGGGCAAGAATAGGAGAAACATCAAGTCTCTATGTAGTAGCTAAGCAGTTAATACTGTTGTCGAGGAGCAGCAAGAGCAGGGCTACTCCCCAGTGGAAGAGGAGCAAGAGGTATTGCCCCTCAGTGTCCAACCCCACAGCATCCAAGTGAGACAAGCAGGACAGACCAAAGATAATAGCTAGATTCAACAGAAAGTCCAGATCCTATGGCAACAGCATGGCAATAAGGCAGGTCTAAGGTTAAGCAGAAGTACAAACCTGCAGACCAAGATTAGCTCTACTGATCTCCAGGCACATCTATAGCAATAAAACAGAGTTAGAAAGTCAGCCTACAAACTGAAATCAGAATCAAAGACCCCATAGGACCACACAACCAAACCAGAGACCAACACTTTCCCATAATTCATCAAGAAGTATTTGCCCAGGGCTGAGCTTAAATACAGCTCCTGGGCCTACAAATGTGTGGAGAAGTCCCAGGTGAGGCTAGTCAAGGCCATTAAGGCTTATTAGTACAACTCTTAAATTATGTGAGATGAGTGCAGTGACACAGCTGGTCAATCTTTTTCTGTATTGAAAGCAGAGCTGTGTGGGTGAACTTCAGGTTTCAGTAACCTCTAGAAAAAAAGAGTTTTCTTCTTATACTTCTTCAAATAAAGCTTCAAAGATCCTTGTAGCCTGAAGTTCCCTGACCGTGAGCTCTGATCCAGGGAGGAAAGTAACATAATTCTTCAAGCCTTTGATAATCTCCACTGTTCTTTTTGTGTTGACCTCCAGTGAGGAACAGATACCAATTTTTGAAGGAAAAAAACAAAGGTTCCTTCAACATAAATTATCAGAATAGATGCACATATGCTTAAAGACACAGTCTATATTGAGTTTCTTAAGCTTGTATCTTGAGACTTACTGGGCAATTTGCTGAGAGGAAAAAATAGCATCAACAGCCCACGTATGCCCTGCAATGGTGTTACCCCTACAGATGGAGCTGCTCCCTTCCGTTCCTTCAGTGTTCTTACCTGCACACTGGTGATGTTTTCAGAGCACCTTTCTTGGGCATATTCACTGACGCAGTGAGGCGAGTCCACCCCCTCTGTGGTAGTTCCACTCTCTCTGTACGCCCAGGTAGGTATTTTTGCATGGATTACATTTGATGGAAGCCTGTGAAATCTTCTTTGGAATCATCATAACTAAAAAGTTGCTGTTAAAAACAAAACATAGAGCTCCAAATCTGTTGCAGTTTTTTGTTATTCCTTTCCCCCACCACCCCCAGCTCTCTCTGAGCTGTGAACAAGAGCACTGGGTAGCACGAACTGAGGGGTGTTTGAAATGCAGTGTTCCCCATCCTCCTGAGTCACCGCTAGCCATCGGCTGCTTTTCTGAGCACTTGTTTTTACTGCTGTACTTCCAAACCAAATATGGCCTCACTTTATATTCTTATTGAAACCCTAGCCCTTTTAAAAACACAAAATCAAACAGTTTCCTTCTTAGTGCAGACAACTGATTTTTAAACAAAGCACATAAAAGGAAGCACCTGTTTGTTTTTCTGCAAAACAAACACAGCAACATCTACTGTTTTGTAGCTATTAACAGAAATGGATGCATTTCTCATCCACTTTTGAATGGGGGTGAAGCAGTAGAAGCACAGTAGATGTCTTGTAAACATCCAGTTCAATCATACCAAGTAGTTTTGGTATGCTGGCAGTCCTGTGAGTGCTGTCCTGACACAAAGCCCTCCAGTGTGGGTGGGTCAATGAACTTCACAGGTTCTGAGAGCAAACTGCACCAGACGAATACAGGTGCAAAGACCAAACTGTGTGGTGTAATAACCAAACCATACAGGTACATTGACCAAATCATAGAATCCCAGACTGGTTTGGGTTGGAAGGGACCTTAACGCTCATTCAGTTCCAACCCCTTGTCACGGGCAGAGACACCTTCCACTAGAGCAGCTTGCTCCAAGCCCCATCCAGTCATCCCTGTGTGTTGCCTGCGCTGTGTAGATGTAGACTGAACTCTGCAGGGATACTGACCCAGTTTGACAGGCTCGTGGACGGTAACCAAGCATGCACACCGACTGGGCCATGCACATCTAGGCTGGGCCATGCTCGTGCATCAACCAGTGTGTCAATCAGCCATGGCACCACACAGACACCGAGGCCTGTGGACAGCCTGTGCTGCTCTGGTGTCGGGAGAAGCGAGCTGGCCCCATCTCGGTGCCATCGCTGCCCTCACAGGGCGGGCTGTGAGAGGCTGCCCCCGCCACCTCAGCCCGCCCGGACTACAACTCCCAGCATGCAGCGCGGCGCCGGCGCTATTAATGCCCTCTGGCGGCGGCGCGTGGCTGTCTGCAGGCGGGGCGGGCTGAGCCGAGCCGAGTCGAGCCGAGCCCGGGCGGCGTCGAGCGGGGCGAGGGGTGCGAACGGGTGCCGGTGCCCACCGGCCGGGGCGGCGGGAGCCGGGAGAGCCGCCGGTGAGGGCGCGGGGAAGGGAGCGGTGTGAGTTCGCCTGTGTGAAGTAGCCGGTGCCGCGCCGCAGCCATGGGGAACCGCGGGATGGAGGATCTCATCCCGCTGGTCAACCGGCTGCAGGACGCCTTCGCCGCCATCGGGCAGAACGCCAACCTCGACCTGCCGCAGATCGCTGTGGTGGGGGGGCAGAGCGCCGGCAAGAGCTCTGTGCTGGAGAATTTCGTCGGGAGGTGAGAGAGAAACGGGGGGCCCTGGGCTTAGGGGGGGGACAGGGGCACAGCCGCCTCAGGGGCAGTGCGGTGCGCGGGCAGAGCCGCCTCAGGGGCAGCGCGGTGTGCGGAGAGCGCGGTGCGCGGGCAGAGCCGCCTCAGGGGCAGCGCGGTGTGCGGAGAGCGCGGTGCGCGGGCAGAGCCGCCTCAGGGGCAGCGCGGTGTGCGGAGAGCGCGGTGCGCGGGCAGAGCCGCCGCACGCACAGGCGGTGCGGGCAGTGCGGTGCGGTGCGGGTAGCGCGGGCAGTGCGGCTCACAGCAGCACGGCTCTCCAGCACAGCGCCGGGGTGCGTGTGCAGTGCGGTAGCGGGGCAGCGCTGCAGGACGCCCGGGCGCTGCGGCGCAGGGGTGAGGGGGGGGAGCGTTGGAGGGCTCCCCGTTTGTGGTGGGGGAATCTCCGCAGCGGGGTCTTCCCGCTTTTGCAGCACCTTCGCAGTGTCGTGTGTGTGTGTGTGTCCCAACCCGCGCCGTTACATAACGGGAGGGGATTGATGTGTCAGTGGGAACCAGCCCCATCCCCTCCCCGGCTCGGTGCGGGGCCGCCGGGCTGGGGTATCCCCTCGGCGGGGCTCTGATACATGGATGTTGTCATTAGGAATGGAGGGAGGAAGCTGCGGCGAGGTGGGGGGTGGTGGTGGTGTTTAAGTTTAATCTGCTCCATCCTCCTCCCGCAGCCCTGCCTCGCTGTCCTCCATAGCGGATGCCATGTCAGGAGCTGCAGGGAGGCTATAGGAAGGACGGGGTTATTTCCCTCCTATATGCTCAAATCCCCGCGTGCTACCATTTTGTGACAGGCAATATACTGATGCTTTCCCTTCATGTGACCTTCGCATTCATCATCTGCAACTTGAGTCAATTGCAGCCCGTGCTGCCTGGCTATCTGGGCCAGTGTAGACACACAACACCTGAGGAGGGGAGGGGGGTGTTCCTCAGCTTGTTTCTGGCCTCGTGAATTAATGGTATTCAGTGATATCCAGGTTTTACTTATCGAGGTGTTTTGTTGTGCTATGAGCAGCACATGGGTCGCTGGTGACTTGCCTGAGAAGCCGTGACTGCTGTGGTACCTGGTCAGATGCTTGTGTGGGTTTTTCCTCTTCCAACAAACTGCTTTTGTGACCACATCTACTGGATATATTTCCCCCACCACTGCTTTTCCTTTTAAGCTGTTTGCTGCCGGGTGGCTTACAAAGGTTTTCTACTATCAGAAGGGTCTGTGGTGTGTATGAATTGCTTGTTTCCCTGCAAGTAGCCCCAAATTCTGGACCTGTGCAAGGGTAGCCTCGAGCGCCGAGTGCGAGATGTGCTGTCTGTAGTAGAAAGGCAGCACAGGGATTGTATGTGGTGCAAAGAAAGCATGGTCAGAATAAGATTACTGTTTTTCTTTGCTATAGATATGCAGTCAAAGAGTTTGGGATCCTTTCTAGCTAACTTCCAGCAGTCCAAGAGGTATCCCCCAGGGATGCTGGGAATCATGCCAGGGGAAGGACATTGCAGGAACAATTTACTGAGCCTCACTCAGGTCATAGAGTATCCACTTATTTGTCCATAGACACAGGAAGAAAATAACAATTCCTGCCACCAAAGGGAAAAGCTTGCTGTGCTGTAGCTTTCTAAGAAGGGGGAAATAGGTCTCTTGAAGTACATGAGCAAAACAGGTTCACCTGTTGGCTCTGCTGTTTTCATGCTTTCAAAGCACTGGCAGCCTCCTCTCGTAAATCCTTTCTAGAGCATCTATGCAGTCAGTGCTGCAGTGGCGTAATATGTAATGTGTGGCTGTTGGGCTTGTGGAAGGGCAGCCAGTGCATTGGGGTTTGCTGCCCCTGTCTTTCGGACTAAGCAAACGGAAGGGAATATGTTAATCCTTGCTGTGTCTCCATTGCTCCAACTGAGAACCGGGGATTTTGTCTTGCCTGGTGGAAAAAGAAATGAATTCAAATTGTTTTCTGTCTCTTTCTGATGACTGCTGTCCCAGGAGAACTTGTGACCTCGCTGTGTCCCATCAGTTGTCTTTCTAGCAGCAAGTTATAGTGCTGTGGCTTTTAGAAAATGAAATAATGAAGGGTCCCCTGAGCAGAAGCTGAGACCTGTCTGTAGAAAAGCATTTACAGGAAATAATTGGAGTGGGAATGGAAGATATGTCAGAGTGAAGAGGTCTTTCTCCATTTGATACCCTTGAGTGCTGGCTGGTTTAGAGATTGGTAACTTGAGACATCTTGCCACAGAATGTGTGTGTATCTGCTGCAAAACCCAGTCGTGTTATAATAATGTTGGGGCTCTGCTATAGTGTGTAGTTTCTCTTCTTTTTGTGTGGGTATTGGTAACCGTGATAAGGAGCTATGGAAATGGTATCCAGAATAAGCGTGGCTCCTCAATGTAATTGTGAGAGGGGTTCTTGTCTTGCCTGAATAGGCATCAGAAGGAATTGCATGTAGACCTACTGTGTACAAATACAACTATTGCTGTAGTGTGGATATGACATATGTCACTGCTCCAGCTTGATACCAGGATGGTGGTGCAGCTATTGCTCAGCAGCTGCTGACTGCACACTGAATGCGAGTGCTGATGAGTTTCTCTCTGAGTGGATGGGAATGTGCAAGGACAAACGCTGATACAGTTGGTACTGGCTGCCGTGCTCCACGGGGACAGTTCAGCAGAGGGGAAGGTTTCCCTGCTCAATACCTGCAGGGCTCCTTTCGAATTGCCATTTAAGCCATGCTCATGCCGCAGGGCAGCACACTTGCCCCCACTGACAGACCTGGCCTGTGGCAATGCAGGATTTCAGCCTGGGGCTGATGCTGGCACCTTGCACTGTATCCCACGCATGCTGGAAACCTCTCTGCACAGAGGAGGGATGCTGACTGCAATCAATATATAGTTACATGGCTTACCAAACAAATCTTTATTCTCCTCCTGAACATGATGCCTTAGTAGTTACTACTAATTGCTCTTCCAGTGTCACTTACTCTGCTGTTAACAGATTATCCAACAGTGCAGAGCCTGTATTTATAATACCAGATGTCAGTGTAGCTGCTATGTGTGCTTTTGCTGCCGGAGACTCAGCATGGTGACGGGGATACTAGCTAATGGTGATTAAAATCACTGAAGAGACGAGCAGCCACGTAGAAGCCAAACAGGTGACACATCTCTTGTAGGCTGGTTTGTCCTGGGCCCCTGAACTGCAAGGAAGGTTAATTGGGTCAGGTCCAGGTGTTTCCTGTTGGTGTGGTTATAACTCAGGTTGGAAGGGCCCTCGGGGGTCATTTAGTCTATTCTTGTGGTGTTGTTACTTCCCTGCTACCCCCTTTCTTTAATTAGAAGGTCTTAGGGCAGGCACCAGTACCAGCCAAATTGCTCTGATGAAAAGAACAAAGTGTGTGGGATTGCTAATTTGACTTGAGAGCCCAAAGGACTGAGAAGGGGGGAATGTATGAGACATCCCTCAAAGCTGTTCTACAAGCATTCATGTTCATGCTACTCTTATTTTACCATTTAAAAACTAACAAATATAAGCCAGGTTGAACGGGGTTTGGAGCAATCTAGTCTAGTGGAAGGTGTCCCTGTCTGTGGCAGGGGGCTGGAACTGGATGATCTTTAAGGTCCCTTTCAACCCAAACCATTCTGTGATTCTTTGAAGTGTGTGTTTTGTTTGGTTTTTGTTTTAAATTCAAAGAGCTGAGTGCTGTTACACAAATCTTTGGGTTTGTGGGAGTATTACTGTTACCTCTGCTTTACAAAAGGCAAGCCCAAAAGCACTGGGTTGTGTTCAGATGGCTGTGTAAATGCACCTTGTGGTCTTGTTTGCTGATCTAAGGAAGCGCACTGCTTCAGCCCTGCAAGGACAGTTGCATTGTGCTTCATGGAGAAAACAAGGCACCTCTGGCTTCTGGAGAACAGATGGTTTAAGGGGGCTGCTGAGGAGGCAGTGACTAAGGACTGGGAATAGTAGGTGGAAGGACTTGAATGGAGGTGAAACCATCTCGTTTGTCAGGGGAGCAAAGCAGTGCCAAAGGTGTGGGAAGTGAATCAGCGTTTACTTGACCCCAGGCTGGAACATTACCCCAAAAGCTTCCTCTCTTGGGAGCTTTTTTTTGTCCCAAACCAAATAGGGGCCCTTAGGAGTCTGTCATTGGACTCTGATGGTATATGCTGGATTAGGTGATGTTTGTACGTTACCTGGAAGGAAACTGACCTAAATGCAATTGTGTTGTATTAACTTTGTCTCTCCTAGCAAACTGAAATTTCAGTATAGGTAAAGAAGCAGGTAAAACGCAGCATTGCAATGCCTGTGGCAGTGGTAAGGATAAATATGTATTAAGCTTGGTACTTGTGCTGCAGCAATTTCCTTGACAAGATCAGGCAGTGTGTGCTGCAACTGTGGTTTTGCCTTGCAGCATCATATACTGAAAATGCAAAGCCAGATCTTGAAGTCACAGGGCTGAGTTTGGCTTCAGGCATAATAACTTGTTGTAGCAACTTATTTTTGTATTTCAGCCTTCCCCAATCGTTTAGAGATACTTACACCCCCAAGATACGATGAGGGAATGTTGCCTTTGATAACATGTACTTTACTTTGTCAGGGGAAGCTTCCCCAGCAAAATACCTCCAGAGACCAACAGCAGTATTTGGCAACTATCTAGAAGTGAAAGATCCTATAGGGACGCATGTGGTGTTGTGGGTACTTGGCCTGTTCAGATACTCCTGGAAAACTGTTTTGTCAATGATCTTTGTGCTTTGAAGCTGCTCAAGCTTCCGCTGTAGTACATGCTTTGAGTGCCATGAAGAGAATTGAAGGTTTAAATCTCCTAAGAGCCATAGCTACATATATATAGATTGAGGTTGTCTGCTGTACTGGGGGTGCTGTGCATCAGTGCCGTATTGTAGTGGCAGGTTTGGGTAAGAAGATAGACTCGCTAACTTGCCCTGCTCTGGCCACAGAAGGGCTCCTTAAATATTATTCTTCTATTTTATTGTTTTGATCTGCTTTGAGATACAGTTGCATGCCCAGAGTGTGAGCAGAGAGTAATTGCAAATCATGGACCTGTAGTAGTTGTATGATAAATACATCTGTGAGCTGACCAAATCCTGTGGTGCATTTGCAGGTTAAAGACATAAGCATTGCTTGGGAGCTGACTTACGTAGGGTTGCAGAGGATGGTAGAAGAGCCAGGAGTAGGATTCTGCTCTTTAGAGAAACAAATTGTGGTCAAATAATAGTCATTCAAATGGCAGCAAGCCTTTGGTCTTCCGTGAAAAAAAATACCTGTTTTTCACTTCTGATTAATTGAGGAAGGAGGAGAATCTGGACCACTGGGGGAAGTGAATAATGTGGTACAGCAGGCCGCAAGATAAGATAATTTACCTTAAAAGAAATCTCTGAGCAAACACTGGTGGGAGGAAGAATGCTAGGAGGAGATACATAATTAAGTTAAAACATGGAGTAATACGGATAGCTGTGAGGGAGGAAAACCATGTCTCGGAATCTCAATGTCTGTGGATGCAGCAGCAGTGTCTGCCTGCATTTGTCCTCTGACTACTTGCTTTACTGTTCTGTGGGTTGGCTCAAATAAATACAAGTCTAATATCTGTTCTACTTGGAGCAGTGGTTGGATGTTCTCTGCAGATCTATCTGTCTGACTCTATTCTTCAGCTTAACTCTTTAGTGATGATCTCATACTTCTGGTAACTGCCCACTAGCTTTATATTCACATGGAAGAGATCCTTATGGCATGTCTCAGATCATATCAGAATTTACCCAGGGAAAGGAAACTGGCTTTTATCTCCACTTTGGAAGCCGATGCTCAGTATTATGCAATTGGGGTTCTATTTTTAAAGGCTCCGGATTGTTTTCAGAAGGCAAAGTTCAATACCTAGTTGGGGATGCCAAACCAAGTCCTTGAACCTATGTTCTCCAGATGCTCTGAGCAGGCAGAACTCTGCTAGACTTAAATAGAAGGTGTGGGAGTCTGCAGCACCTCCTACTGAGGCAGCTTCTGAAAATGTTATTCTAAGGCAGGAAGCTAATCCCCTTCCTGAGCTGGTGAGTTACTGAATGTCCCTGCTTTGTACTTCAAGTTTGAGCCTGTTTATACAAGTGTGAGTAAAAATTCTTCAGAGTGAGGATTTCTTGGCATCTTTAAAATGAAACGTTGAGAAATGGAAGAAGTTGACCATTTAGCCTAAGTTAATCAAGAAAAGGGTTCTTGCTGTGCTCTAGCTGCTGGGGTGAAACTCATTATGATGCCTTGAGCAGTGAGTTTATTAGACAAGAGCAAACCCATGTGTGCTCCACCCATGTGAGCCAAGAGTCAGATGTTTGTTTCAGGCAGTTCATTTGAGTGGCAAAACAAGATTTACTGAAGGGGTGGTGGGCAGTCACCTAGAAACATGCAGTGTTCAGCCGGTATGCCCAATGTGAAATTGGCTTTGAGGTGACATCTGTGAAAGGAAAGTTACTGGTATTATGCAGGGGGTGAACGTGTTTCCTTGATATACCACCAAAAATCTTTGGGTGTAAGACTTTCCTTCTTGGACTCGCAGATCTGTAACTGTATGAGTCAGAGTAGTGCCGGTTGGGAGGAGAGCTGAAATGAAATCTAGTTCAGAATAGAAAGAAATCTAGTCATGTGTGAGGGGAAAACAGCTCGCTGATGGGACAGCTTCTCATTCCTCTTGAAACTTACCTTTCCTGATCTCAGACCTGGTTTTGCACATCCCGATAGTGAAAGCTCAAGGTAAAGAAATACTGGCAGATGGGCATGTTCAGCCTCATAATAGAGTTCTGTTCTCAGCGCTGAAACTAATTTACTTTATGACTAAGTTTCTTTTATACCACATTCTCCATCTGTAGAAAGGAGAGGCTGTTCATGTCATGGAGGTGTATATCATGAGTAGACACTTGAAATAACACTAGAAAAGGTTAACCCTAAACTAGGAAACTCTCCTAACAACAAATGAAAACTCTGCAAGGGTGGCACAGGGATGTCTGCCTCAGCCCTCAAAGCCTGTTTCTATAACTGGTGTGCCAAGAGCTTTAGCTGTTCATGCAGCTTTGTTTTATGGCTAGTCACGTCTGTTCTGCAGAGTTTGGGACTGGGGCAGCCACCTTTGGCTGCTGGCATAGATCAGATACTAGATTTGAGGAGTCATGGTATTCTTAGAAAGCATTGGGAAATGAGAAACTGCACTAGATGAGCTGGTAGCACTTCCATTTTTGAGCAGAGCCTTTCAGAGCAGGGATGGGTATCACAGCCTTATAGAGGAGTGAGCCCAGGGGTTTGCTCCTACTGACTTGAAACACCCAGATGGTCTGGTTAGACTGCAAGCAGGGCTGGTTCCGAAAAGCTCCAAGAAGCTATTTGTCCTCCTTTACATTTCTCTATGATCCTTCTAAAGCATGCATCATGCTTGGTTTTGAGTGAATTGATGGAGTTTAGTCATGGCAGTTGGTTGTCTTGCTTAGGACTAACTGCTGTAAATATTGGGGTGGTTGGGAATAGAGGGCTGAGACAACATCTCAGCATTTACTGAGGAGCAGTGCATCAAAACATTGTGACTGGCAACTGAGCACACTGTTAGAGATTTAAATGAATAAACTTTGTACTTATGTCCAGCTTCTTGTTTTCAGTGTCTGGTTAGTGAAAACTTGAATAATAAGTAAATGTAAAGTGGCTCAGTAGTTTTCCTAAATCACCTTATACGGATGGACAGACAGACAGTGAAGTTGTTGACTATTGCTTCCTCTATGACCTTCAAGCTTGTCACAGCTCCTAGACTGGTGCTGACTATAATAGAGAAGTGCTTTTCTTCAAGACAGTAGAGGAAGAGTGAGCCCAGAGTCTGAGATCTAACAGTGTCTCTGATTGTTCTCTGCCATGTTAGATGCTCTGAAAGCCTTGGCAGCCCCAGCCACAACCAAATGGAAGTGAGATGGTGCTTCAGTCCCTGGTCAGTAGCTTCTTGCAGCTCAACACAAGATGCTTTTGGGAGCATCTTGGAAGCAGATGTTATGCAAGCTCCTCAAGCTGTGTCTTGCTGACTGGAAGCAAACTTGCCAACTTCTGCCACTTTTCTGCAAGTCTTGTGACTTGTGTGGCTTTTCTTAGAGCCCTGGCCACAGCAATTCAGCTAACAGAGGAGCAGTGTAGCTTTTGTACTGAAACCAGCAATTTCTAACATGGATATTTGAGGGTATATTTTTTTTCTTTAAAAGATGCTGTCTCTGTAAATGCTCAAGTATAAAGAATCCAGAAACTTCTAAGACCTCTGTTGTCAACTTTTCCCTTCCTAAAAATCAGAGCTCAGTCCTAAAACTATAAGCTCTGCTAAAATACTTGTTTTAGTCGTAATGAACAATAAATTACACAAAATGAGGTTTGGAATAAGCCCTGTACCTCACTTGTGACTGAAATGGGAATTGAACTTGAGTCTCTAGTGGTGAAAATACCATTTTAATAATGTATTGCCTCAGCAATCCCCTTTAACAGTCCCTTTCCTGTTTCTTATGGCTTTAGGTTCCATAGTTGCAGCTGTGTTGAAGGGTGAAGAGTTAATACTACTGTAAGAAACATGAGAATTGCTGGGATCCCATCTTGATGCTTGAGTGGCCACTGTAGTACATGGGATGCCTGAGAGAGGACATAGCTGGTATTTTGGCTGCAGAGCCAGGCAGTGTTGCTGTGGGGCTGTGTAAAAGCTGAGCATAAACTGCAGCCATAGTTCAGAGTAGATTTTCAGCTGTGTTTAAACTCAAAGCATCAATGGGCACAAATCGACAGAGATGCTGAGTAGTCACTTCTCAACATCTGCAAATGTTTTTATAGCAGAGCTAAGTTACCCTTGAGAGCACTAGCAAAAAACTACTATATTTGCCTTTTTTCTTTTGAGACCAGAGATCCAGGGATAGGGGAGGCTGTGGTGAATTCCTTAGAACAAGGAAAGAGGTGCCTAAAGGCAAAAATCCTGCAGTCTTTGTGTAGTTCCTTCTCTTTGCCTTCCTGCCACTTTTGCATGTGTAAATGTAGAGTAACTTATGTAGGATCTGGCTGAGTTCTCTGACCCTTACAGTTTTTATGCTGGTATTTAGCTCTACTAACTTGCTTATAATTTACTCTGAACTTACACTGCTGTGGGTCGGGGTGGGGTCCATCGATTCAAACACGTGTTGGGTTTTCTCTCTTTCAGGCTGCTGTGATCTCTTGAGTAATCTCTTGCTATTTCTTAAGCTGATTGTGCTTTTACTTTTAATAGAAGCTCCCCTATGAATAGCTGGGAATTGTTTAAGTGTGGTGGTGGCCTTGAGAGGAGATCTGTCGCAGTGGGGTTATAGCTGGAGGTAAGGAGGAGACTGGAACACCAAAATGCGGAATACCCTCAGGGACTGGTGCGTGACATGTGTCACACTGCAGAGCTGGTGCTGCAGCTCCAGTGCCAAAGCTCAGGTCACCTCTTCTACATCAGTGCAGCTCTCAGCAGAGGTCCCAGCAATATTCTTCTTCCCTCTGGGTTGTCCTACTTTGATGTTCCTGTTCCTAAGCATTACTCCGTTTATGCCTTTTCATTCAAGATGTTTGTTATGCCAGGCCTGCAAACTACCCAGCACTCCAAACCCATCTTAGAGAAAGGGATCTATTTCCTGAATGAATTTGTATAGACTATTGAAAGAATGATATTTAAGGAATACTTACTGCAAAAGAACAAGTGAAGCAGTGCATTATCACTTGATATTTTGCCATCCTCTGTTTGGACAAAATTGAATTCAAGCTGGATACCTGGACAGGCAAAAGCGAATGTTGTTAGAAATAAGAATATTGGTTTGAAGGGGTGAAGGGAAAATACCAGGGGAAGGAAATACCCTTTACCTGTTGGAAACAGGGAAAGGAATGGAAGACTGAAGATTCTGGCCTGATTGTCCAAGTCATTATGCCACAATTTTGCTGTAGATTTGGAGTGCCCATTAATAGGCAACACTAATTTTGACCCTTCTCTGCTTTCTGAATTTAAGCCCTTGAAAGCTGTCCATGAAGACATAGGCTCCCTTAGAAATGCTGTAGATGTGTATCTGTAATAAACATGTGCTTTTGTCATCTCCTGTGGTCAATGCTACTCTTGACCAGGGAAAAGTGTTACCTGGGACGTGAGTTGTGTGGTTGGTCAAAAGGACTCTGGCAGACACATTGGAACCAGCTAGGAGGTCAAGCGCTCATGTCTTCTGGGACTATTGATCCAGCTTTCTTTCTGGTATAATGGAGATGGCTTGTGTTTTTTGAAGTAGAGTTTAATGCCTCTGACTTTGCACTAGAGGTGTTGAGTAGTCATGTGCTGTTTTTACTTCAAGGGCTGAAGCAGCAGTGCCTCTGCACTGTGTTTCCAAGCCAGGGTTATCCTAATTATATCTAAAACTGCGGAGGTGCAGTGCATCGCCAGGAGCCTGGCACTGTTCCTGCATACTTATCTAGGCAGGGAGAGAGAAGCTGGCATCTGAAATTCCTTCTGCAGGACAACCATGCACCTGGGACAGTTTGATCAGGATGCTGGAGTGCAGCATAACTCAGTTACCCCACAGAACTCTGGCCTGCTGGAGGGGAAATAGCCTCCCTCCCAGTCCACAACACTGCATCTTACCACTGACCCAACATAAGTTATCAGGGTACATGCATTCAGTTTTATAAACTCACCACCCATGTCTGGCCGCTCATAGCACATCATGGCTTGAGGTGTTATCTCCTTTCCTCATACAGCTTCCTCTTGGGTTTGTATTAGTGGGCTCAAAGTGATTTGGCCTTTCCCAATGAACTCTTTCAGTTGTCTGGACCCTTTATGGCATTCAAGCTCTGGGGAGACTGTTGCCTTTTCTAGCACATAGGGCTGTCTGGGAGTGCAGGAAGTGTCACACTGCACTGATGGAATGTGCCTTGAGCTACGTTTGTTCTTCTCTTGGGTCTTGCAGCAAATACCACGATTCCAGAGGTGGTGGAGTTTTGACAAGAAATCGAAGCTGACAGTTACCATGAGTGTTTGGTGGCTTTACGTTTGGCATTGTACCTGGTTTCCTTCTCTGAAGGAGGGAAGGGCAATGATGGGGATAACCCCCTTTTAATCTAGAGGCTCTATGTGATGAATAGCTTGAATATGTTACTGCTGCACAGTTAGAGGTATCCCTGAAAACAGGAGAGCCTTTACTGCTGGACAGCCCTTATTTGAGACACTGCAGCCTGACTCCAGAGAGCTAGGACAGATTAAGACACTGCTGGTGGGAAATAGCAAGGTCAGCCTGTTGCTCATGGGTCTTAGCATATGTTAATCCCAGGGTGTTATTGTGGCTGTGCCTTCCCATCAGTCATTCCCAGTGTTTGTGTACAGCTTACCCTTTTGTTTTCCCCCAGCTCAAGATGCAGGTGCTGTACAGGCTGTGGTTTTCAAGGCTGCAGCCCTCCTGTTATGGCAAAGGCAGGATTTGTCTGTAGTTTGTTTGTGCCAAAGAGCTGTGTTACTGCAGTATTATGACAGATCAGTGCAGCTTGAGAATGAGACAAGCAAAGATGCTGGATCATGGGTTTACCTTTATTGCTGTAACTAACTATGCTTCTCCCCTACAGCCATCAGGACTGGACTAATTTGATGCTTTAGGGTGTTGAGGAGATTGCCTGGAAGTTGCAGGGAGATTCTGCAGATACAAATCTATGTGATGGTTTTTTTTTGCCAGGGCATCCATCCTTTAGAAGGAGCAAAAGGAAAGCTTGCTCTCCTGCTATGATGGTGAAAAATCAGCAAGGCAAGCAGAAAGGTCTGGTTTACAACTTCTGGGGCAGAGAATACATCACACTAGTGCGGCGTTTCCTGTGTCTCTGGAGGCCTCTGGACCCAGGCAGTGCTGTTGCTTTCCCCTGGAATCCTCGTACTGTCACCCAGATCTAGTGTTATGTTTGTGTATTAAAAGTGAACACAGCCCCATTTTCCTGGGATTGTAATTCTTGAAATCAAAGCTGTGTTTTCCACAAACATGTAATCCTTAATCCTTATTGCTGCATCCATTTGGGACCCAACAGGTTGCTTATTACCTTGAGTTCCCAATACTGTCACGTAGAATCAGTGCTGTGTTACTCTTTACCTTGATATCCCAAGGCAAGAGCCAGGACTTCATTTTTCATTACCCAAAAGATCCCAGAGGAAGCTGCTCAGCAGCAGTGCTGCGATTTTTCCACTCTCTCAAGACTCTTTCCTCCCCCAGCAGTGCAGCCCAGAGTCAATGCGGCGTTGCTATAATGGGCAGTGACTTTTTGAGATCAGGCAGTGCACTGGAGGCTCTACCACTCTGAGTAATCCTCTGCAGTGAAATGCAGAGTTCCAAACAAGCAAATCCCTTTACAGTTGTTATCTGCAAAAGTACCAGGAGGAAATTGGCTCTCAAGTGCCCTTGAGGAGTTGGAGTGCTCTCCTTTCCCATTTGTGGTCTACATCCTCACGTGTTCTGGGCTAACCCATCTGCAGGGAGGGATCTGGCAGACAAGTCAACCCTCAAAATGGAGGAGGGAAGGGATATTCCCAATTAATTTTCTCATAGCAGAGATGAGCTGAAGCAAATGACATCTTGTGCAGGGTGGTTTTGTATGGCAGGAGTACCTCTTGTTTCTCCTGCAAACTCTTGATTTACAGCTTTAGTGACTTGCTTAAAATCTCTCAGCCTTAGCAGCTTGGGGCTGATGCACAGCAGTGAGGGATGCAGGAGCTTTGTGGACTTCAAACTGACTTGTTTCTATGGAGACAAGTAGATTTCACCATGCTGTAGGGAAGAGGGAGGGGAATTACCCCCCTGGGCCTGGTTTGGGCTCTCAGAGTGGATTGGCTGCACTGCAGTTATAGAGCAGCAGCCCATGAAGGGATTATCTGTCTAGTCAGTGATAGGGAAAGAAGCACATGGATCCAGTCTGGTCCCATTGCAGGCTTCCTCACTGGGGATGGCACAAGGCACTGTCACTGTGTGCCAGGATTCCCAGGGTCACAGTCCCCCATAGCACCTAAAAGCAAAGAATTTAACCTTGATCACTCAGCCAGAAAGGAGGCTTGTGACTGTGTCTCCTGCCCAGACATTGTGGTTAGGATGGCTAAGGTGATAAATTGTGTTCATACTTTAGCATACCTTCTTCTAGGCAAGACCCAAGACCTCTTTGTGGTGTCTGCAAGGGCTGAGGGGAGCTGAGGTCTCTCAAACAGGCTTCAGGTGATGCTTGCTGATGAAACAACTGTGTTTCCTGTTGTATTTGGTGTACAGCTTTCAGAAGGCTCCAGCACCTGAAGTCCTGTGGCTGGGGCTGATTTTGAAACCTGTCTTTCTAAAATGAAAGTTAATCTCATGAAATCAAAGAAACCAAAGCATGAATACAGATACTGATCAAACAGGTTCAAATAAGAACAGTGTCATAGAATCACAGATTGGATTGGGTTAGAAAGGACCTTAAAGCTGATTCAGTTCCAATCCCCTGCCAAAGGCAGGGACACCTTCCACTAGACCAGGTTGCTCCAAGGCCCATCCAGCCTGGCCTTGGACACTGCCGGGGGTGGTCTGTAGTACTGAGTCTGAATGGATACCAGATCCTGGTGCTGGCCCTTCAAAAGGGCTGACCAGCGGCCCCAGCAATGACTCTGGGAGGGAAACCTGAGGTTCCTAGATAAAAGGAAAGCAAACCATGAAAAACTGGCAAAAATGGTAACACCTTTGTGTGTCTGAGCCTCTTCCCAAGGTAATTCCTTGTCTGTTTTCTTCCCCTTCTACAAATAGAGCCTATAAATGTAGTGTGGGAGCTTTGTAACCTTCTCTAATGGAGAGAAATTCCAGTTGCTCAGCTTCTGTCTCCCCTCACTCTATTTAGGGACTTGAGTCCAAGTTCTGTAAACTGAGTCAGGGATGGAGTGCAGCTGTAGCAGAAATTCTTGCTTTATGCCTTGTAACGCAGCCAGAGGTGATCAGATGCGGTAACCCTTGGTTATGGGTTTGTGCATCAAGAATGTAGCAGCAACATCTCTGCCTTATTTCAGGTGATCTAAATAGATCCATAGTGCACCTCAAAAGTCAGGGCAGATCCTGCTGTAAGGTCTACCAAGCATAAAGCTGGAAGACTGCTGTAGCCATAGAGAAATCCCTGGGGCAAACTCTTGGCTGTGCCTCTTTACTCTGTGAGCTGGCAGACCCATAGACCATTAAATGAAAGTGTAATACCTCAAGTGTAAGAATCCTTTTGACCTCGTTGGATGTCTTTTGCCCTGTGGAACTGTACAGCCACAAAGCTCTGTAGTTCTGCATCAGATGAACTTGGGCGCAGAGGCTCCAGTGCAGCCATGACTTGGCATAATGCACTCAGCTGTCTTCCAGACTTTTGGTGTGTGAAAGAGAAAAATCAGCCCAAAGGAGTCAAATAAAAATAAACATAGAGAAACTTCTTATCTTATCCCACTGCTGGGACCTGCATCGAGGCGTATGCAGGAGAGGGGCTGAAATAGAAAGGAGGGAGATGCAGAAAGAGGGAATGAGAAGCACTGCCTGCAGTGGCTCCTGGGAACCAGTCTGTGCCATCAGAGATAAGCCAGGAAAGCAGAATTTAGTGAGCTCTGGGAGGGGTAGGGGGGAAGAGAGCTGTTTCTGAGCAAGTGTTTGTGCAGAAACTGCTCTGCACTTTCCTTTTTGCTGTAGCAGCGTTTGCAAAGGTGCTGCAGGCTGAAGTCTGAACACTGCCACCGCAGCTGAAGTACCAGTGATGTGAGGGAGCATTGCACGTATCTCCTTTGTAGTTGTCTGACCCCCTCAGCCCACGCTTGGCTCAACAAATGGGTTCTGAGTGGAGGAAACACATTTTTTTGATTAACAGTTTTGATCAAGGCATGTGGGTCCTCCCAGAGACTCACAGGAACACGTAAATGTGACTGCATTTCGGTAACAAAAGGCTTATCCTGTTCTGTGGGAAAGAGAAGGTTTATGCTTTATCAGAAATTGCTAAGGTGACACAGGGCATAGACTGTCACCTCTGTATATCTAGATCAGTGGCCAAGTAATTCTGCTGTGTCCTATGATAAGACAAGCCCTGTGGCTGAGGTGGGAGCTCCATTCAGCTGCTGTGTCTCCATGGCACATCATTTAGTCCCAAATGTCAGTGAAACAAACCTCACCATTATGTGTGTTCGCGAGGAACTGGCCTTGACTCGCCAGACTTGCTGTCTGTAGGCTTCCAAACAGCCAGCCCTGCACTTTTCTATGGAGCTGGATTCCCTTGGAGGGGGCAGTTTCCTGGAAGGTTTCTTGTCTTTTTGGCAAAGCCTGTGATGTGGGGTCACAATGGCTTCTGAAATGTTGCCTTTTGTAATAAATGTAGGTTGTTAATGTGGCTTTATTTACTTCATATGTTAACTCTGTGTATGCTACTTTCGGATAAGGTGAGAGCACAGTATGGGGAAAAAGATGCAGGAACATGCAAAAAGATGCTCTGGAACATATGTCCTGGTCAGCTGTAAAAGAGACAGGGGAAACAAAACAGAAAGATGATTCTTAGTGTTAATTCTGGAGCAGTACGTGTGTGTGAACGTGTAATAAAGCCTATTTCTATAATTTTGTTACAGTGAATTAGCATAATTGCTATCCTTTTGTGTTTGAAGACCACAGTACCCCAGTCTCTGTTAATAAAGGTATCGTAGACAGTGTACCCTTCACCTTTGCTGGGGACCTGTGCTGGCATCAACTGCAGTGCTGTGCAAGGGAATAGAAGAACTCAAGGCAGACAGGGGAATAGAAGGTGCAAGCTTCAGAAATTACTTTCTAGTTCATGATCTGTCCCCTCTGACACTTGTTTGCAAGTTATTCAGTCAAATGCTATAAATTACTTCAGCTTACACTGGCATTTGTGCTTTGTCCTGCTCAGACAGCACCTATGAAGTTTGTGAGACAGTCTCTGGGAGCTCATCTTATGTATGGCAGAACTCCCAAACTTGAGAGGAGGTTTGCTTGGCCTTTCTTGGTTACTGCTCTAGGTTGCTACACTGGGGACAAATAGCTAGGTACTAGAGATGCTGTCTGAATGCCAGAACAGCTTACCAAAGCAAGTGTCCCAAGCCAGCACAATAGTGTTAACCTCCCTTTGAGCTGCTGTAAGTAGGAACTCAAGGTACAAGGCAGTGGGAAGCCTTCTCTTGAATTGCATTGTTTCTGGTAACATGTATATTATGATGACACTCATGAACTATTGCCTGTCTTTATTTTTCACGATTGTATTCTTGTATAATGCATCATTGTGCACAATAATATTGCCAGTATGCTGGAATGTGGTGTACTTACAATAGATCTTTAGTTCTATATGTATCCATTGTGTGACCAGTACCAATTACAGCCTAAGAAATATTATACCAAGTGCTTATGGAATTTCTTTCTTTCACTGTGGGTCAAGACTAGGCACATGGTTGTGCTGAGGGGATCGGTGGGTAAATAACACTCATCCCATGGCTTAAACTTCTGAGTCTAGAAGTGTTAACCTCAATGGAAAGAAACGTGGCTACCTGGGAATGAGACTGACCACAGGACTGAGTCTGAAGGACTGGCATCCTAAGGGCAGAATAAAGCAGAAGAGCAGGTTGATGGGTGCTGGTGTTCATAATGCACCTGCTTTTAAATGCTTGCTCTTCGTGTTGGCCTGTCCGGCTTTTTTTGTTTGAGAAGCGCTTTGGTTCAGGGAAGATAAGAGCCCATAGAGGCCACAAAGTCAGCAGGGAAGCAGAGCCTCAGTCTGTAAGGCAGCCTTTGTGTTGACCTACTGGGTGATAAAGGAAAGAACAAATTTTTTCCTCTTGCCCTGTGTCCAAGTTCCAGAATTGCTTATGAGTGTACTTGTGTGTCACTTGAGCGATGAGAGCAGGAAGGTGCTCTCAAGGGCAGTTTCTGCATCAGGCTTCTACCTTCTGGTAGAACTAGATGATGTCTGTTACGAAGGAGCACGGAACTCGAGTTAGTGTCTAAGTGGAAGGCTATTACTGTTTGAGGTGTTTGTTTTAGTCCGTAAGGTTAACAGTAATTATTTTTGACCATGCAGGTTTTGTATGGTTAATGTGTTGCATAGGGGCCAGCCTGTGTTTTAAAGATTCATTCAAGTCATACATGCAGGAGTAAGAATATGTTTGAAAACGTAGCTGCTGTGCTGTGAGATGAAGTGTTCTTCAGTGATGTGTATAAGCCATTCATAGAATGTAGCCTTTATGAGGATGGGATCCTTGCCAATCAGTGCAAGGATCAGAAGAGTCATACAGGTACCAATACCCAAAGGTTGGCTTGGGATTCCTATGACGCTCTGTGCCATCATGAGCTCATGAAGAACTCGATCTGGATGCGTGTGAATTATCAGCTGCAAGAACTGGCAGATGAAGTGAAGGTGGTTCTAAGCTTAAGCAGGAGCAGGTCCAAACTTTGTAAGCAGATAGTAAAATCCATAAGGACAGGAACTGTATTGCTTGCTGTGTATTGGCATAGTGCTTTGTGCAGTGCAGTTCTGGTTGCTGTCCCTGGGCACCACCAGAACACAGGAAATAAATAGTGGATTGAAGAAACCAAACAGCCATGTGGATCTGTGGAGGCTGTGTGAATCTTAATTTTTCTGAAATGAATATAATCCAAACTGGGAATTAATCACAGCCCTCAATGCCCCATTTGTCTGTAGATATTTAAGAAGAAATCAAATTGAAATGAAATGATCAGATGGTGGTGTTCACTCTTCTGTTCTTTACAACTACTTTCATGTCTTCATAAGCTGCTGGTTTGCCTTTTTAATTGAGGCTTTGCATTCTCCAGCACATTCTAATCCAAGAATCTCAAAGGACCGACAAACAATAACTGCAGGGATGCTGTATTGGTATATCCAGACTAGTCCTAGATTGGTGCTTCAAAGCCCTGCATAAACAGCTTTACAAACCTTCCGGCTTCCTTGGGGGGCAGGAAAGTAAGTGGTGGTAGAAGCGTTTGATCCGTCCTCCATTTAGATCAAGAGATGGTACCAAGGACTCAGTTCTGTTCTTAGCTGCCAATGGCTTTAATTACAGCTTCAGTGAAGACACAAATTATGCATGAAAAAGCTCTGTCACGAAGTCCTTTCAGAAATAGAGATTACCAGTGGATGGTGAAAGGGCAAAACCCCTTCAGTTCTGCAGTACAAGGAGTAAATTATTTGTGAGGCTCAGTAAACCAGGGGCAAAATTAGTATAAGACTAATTTTTATACTTCATTATATTCTTCATTATAAAACACAGCGCAGGAGTCCTCACTACCTGCCCTGTGAACTGCCAGATGCTCCTGGGTTTCCCTGTGGATATCATGTTGGTTTGAACTCGAGCTCTTGCTGGGTTGAGAGCTGGGCTTATAAGACTGCAGTTGTGGTGCCGCATAAAGGATTGCAGTAACCCCTCTTGTCCAGTCATATTGAAGGTTCTAGAATATATGACCAAAAAGAAAGTGCTTCAGATTATGCCGATCTTCAGATCTGCATTAATGCTGTTTCCTTTCACGAGTGTTTATAGCTAAAATTGCATTTAATTTTCAGTGCATTCCATACATGTTTAGTATTCATAACATTCAATATGTTGAATTATACAAGCAGTTTCCTTCCTTTTCCATACAGCATAGGTTGAATTATACAAGCAGTTTGTCAATCTCCTGTGTTTTATAAATAGTCTAGTAGGAAATGTCTTTGGTCCATGTTACCTTAAACTTCTAATCCTTTGGACTGTGCAAGTCAGTAAATGAACTCTGAAACTTGTTTCTAGAGCAAATGTGCTTTTTCTGTCATTAACAGCACCTTCTTGTTCTTGAGGGCTCCAAGTTATCTTATGCATGGAAGTTCTTTGTACGGTGTTTGGCTTTAATTCAAAACACTAATAAGGAAACTTGAAGTCCCCAGTGCCCTGCTCCCAAATGTGTTATTGCATGGTATCGATTGCCTTACTGTGTTCCCGATGGGTTTGGATTTTGTTTGGATGCTGCTCTACAGCAACTGTTAGGTTGTTTGCTGTTCCTCAAATATTTTGTTTTTACTATTGCACTACTAATGCAGCTTTCAGCCTAAATCTGTGCTTTAATGCAGCTCTGCATACTAAAATAGAAATAAGACTAGAAGGGATGATGAGATTGGGTTTGCCCTGAGGTAGCTAGTCAAGAACATGTGTAAGCATTTCGGAAGCGAGCAATGCAAAATGGAACAAAAAATGCCTTTTCAGGTCACTTCCCTGCCACAACTTCTCCAGCCTGAAGACCCATCGGGATTTGCATCCTTGGTTCTTTTTGTTGTCTTGATTTAGGAAAGGAGATCACTGCTCAGACCAAACATGTACCTAGCTCAATGCTTTCCCTCTGACAGTAGTTAATAAAAGATGTGTGAGACATGTATAAATAAGGCTTCCAATATCTTGATGGGGAATTTTGAGTCAATCAAGAAAGATGCAAGCAAGTCAAGTATTTCTATTCCCTGAATACAGCTGCTATTTTGCTGTGCTTTCTGCATAAAGCCTTGCCTGAAGAACTGGCACGGTGGTATTCCTGCTTAAAAGCATAGGAAACCAAATGCCATGCCACTTCTGTGTTACAATAAAACAACAAGTAATTCTCAGTTTTTAAGAATCAAAGTGGAGAAGGAAACCATGGTGTTTGTGTCCTCAAACCTAATTGAATAACATATTTCAGGCACAAAGTCTTGAATAGTGATGTATGTAATGAGACTGCTTTTGGTGTCATGCTAGAGGCTGCCTTGTCTTACAAGAGGAATCCCTGCTATCCTTGTTGTGCCAGCACTTGGAGCCTTGCTACTGTGCATATGTGCTGGAGCTGAGGAAGCGGGTTTATCTAACCCTTCTGCTCCCATCTGCCCAAGTCACCTGGCATGGGGTGGTTCTTACCTTGTCTGTTGTTTCCCTGATTCTGGCTTAGTTTCATCACTTTGTGTGTAGAGATTTCCCCCCCTGCCCGGCTCCCAAGTGTGCTCAAAACTTGTGTTGAGCATCTTGTCCATTCTGCACATGCTCTGCTGTTGTAGTTCCACTTGCACAAGCAGTTCATTATGCCTACTGCAAGAGGGCAGGCAAGACTCCCATGCACTGCCTTCTGCCTGGTGCCTAGCTAGCTTGTCACAGTATTTACTAATCTAAACCTTTTAGTGTCTGATTTGAAAGGCTTGAGCAGGAGGAGGAATTTCTCCAAAAGACTGTGGAGGAAAGGGAGGTGAAGAGTAAAACACAGGGTGATCCTGCATCAGCTGTGGGGGTTTTATGCAGCTTTCTGTCTGCAACTCCTAATAGGAGTCAAGTGCAGAGAGAACTCGGAAGTTGAATGGCATGTACCTCCCAATAGCATGTGGATAAGAGTGCACATTCACTTACTGATATTAGGGATCAGATTGTGCATATTTTCACTCAGAACTAAAGCAGCAGCACTAAACTTGTTGATTTAGGTGACTGAATTTATCTAATGGATTGCTTGTCTTGCCTTCTGTGAGGATTTAGTGTTTTCTCCTTGCAATAGCTCAGGAACTACAGTTAACACAGGAAACTGGACCCCAGGTGCCACACAGGTTTTTTCATGTGCCTTTGTCTTGAGTTTTTGCCATAGTAGCTGTGACAAGGACAGCAGAGAAATCAGGGTTTTGGTTAAATCAGAAAGCTTCAGGAAATCATGGAGCACAACATGAGTGGAACCTTAATCCCTGGGGAGCTCATGCTTGTAAATGCAGGTGGTGCTTTTCCTACAGTAAAGCAGGATTTGGTAATGCAAGTTGGAGATCAATAACTGAAGTGTTGGCTCAGTGGGCTCAAAGTGCTTGGCTTTGGAAATAGCAAAAGTAAAGGAGAACTTGTTGGCTGTGGCTGCAAAGTCAGCATTTGGAGAAGGATGATGAAGGGTTTCCTTCCTTTGAAATGTTTTGAAGTACACAAAAACTCAGGATTCTTGTGAATATAGAAGGAAGCTGCTATTGCTTTTGCCTTGGCAATACTTATGTCTCGAGTAGTTAGCCAAGAGAAACCCTGGGTAGAGGCAAGCCTTTGGCTGCTCTTCATTCTTTAAGATGTGTCATATGGTGCTTGCATGCTGGAGCGATGTGGTGTCTTCTGAAGCCCCAAAGAGCAGGGGATGGGGGGATTTCACTGTAGTTTGGGCAACTGTATCTTGTTAAAAGGCACCACACTGGTTTGGGGGCTCTGCTTCAACTTGTTTTCTTTCTAATAAAAGAGATTGTTTTTTCCCAAGCTGCATTAAATGAGCTTGTTGGTTAACTTGGAATTCCATCTGAAGGAGCTACGGCTGTTACAGGATTAGAAGGAACGTGCTGTGAGTATAAGCTGCTTCAAAAGAAGCTCGCATCCTCTTTGAGGGGGGGCACTTGGTTTTTAGTGCCTTAAACTACTTTTTGTGACTAAGGCTCCCTGTTGGAATCTCCGTATGCTTGTAGAGGCAGAGCAGCTGTGAAAAGGGAAGGAAGCAATCGTTCACTCATCAAACTTCCTGGTTCATTTCAGGGATTTTCTGCCCCGTGGATCTGGCATCGTAACCAGGCGCCCGCTGGTCCTGCAGCTGGTAAATGCTAGCACAGGTAAGTGAGCACCTTCCCTGCCTATCCAGATGGATTGCTCTCTAAGAAAGGTTTTATTTGATCAATGGCACTGCTTGGTGTGCGTGTTTGTGAAATAAATTAGGATTTTCCCCAGTGAAAACGGCCTGCGGGTGGTTTTCCGTTGTACCTGTTTAATATGTGATGCATGAAGTGTTCAGAAGCAAAATGCTTCTTGGGGTTTTTATTCTAACTTCTTAGGCAAGGCTCCATGCATACACTTATCACAACTGTCCTTTGCAGCTGTGGCTGAGTTGTAAGGCCGAAGAGGCAGATCACCCTGCTGATAATCTGCTGAAATAAGGGGGTGAGATGACTTAATGTACTGAAAACCCCAGTGTGAGAATGCTGGGATGTACAGAGAAAAGGCTGCAGAGTTGTGTGGCTGCTCTTTTGGGCAGTTCACTGGTTTTGCTACTTGCAGCATATTTTCATTACTATTCCCCTTAAGATCTCATCCAGGAGATGGCAAGTGAATGTTTCAAGGTGCTTTTCATCTTGTCAGATGAACTTGGTCTATGCACAGCAGTCCTCCTGCCTTGTAAGGACACAATTTGACTTTTAGGAGGTTTTGAAATGGAAACAGAGGGTTCTTGGATTGGTTAGCCTAGTCAAGGACTGACACACAAAAAATCCCCAACCAGCAGCCAGCTCAGAGCCATGTCAAGAGGAAGTTTGAGGTGTTTTACTCTGGAGTCTGTTCTCATTATATAAAGAGACTGTTATTTACACCAGCACATCAATACAGAACTAGGCTAAATTTTCCTGTACCAAGATACCTCCCATGGGAGCTGTGCAAGTCACTGCTGCAGGTAGGTGCATGCTAGGATTGCTTTGTATTACCAGAGAAGGTCTTAGGTTATTACTTGAATGAAAACAAGTGAGGATCCATCTCTGCTGAGACAGAAGCTGAACTGTGAAGGTGTTGGGCTCTACTGAGTTCTCTGATGTTGATCAGATAATGTGACTGCAGTGCCAACCTGCAGGTCCTAGTGGGAAAGGCTTTAGTCAGATTTCATCCCTTCAACTGTAGTTTTGTTTTGTTTTGCTTAGGAACATGATGTTTTCATTACACTCTGTTCCTCTGACCCTGGTGACTATTTCTGACTCTCTGCTTCTATTTAAATAGAATATGGCGAGTTCCTACACTGCAAAGGAAAGAAATTCACTGATTTTGAGGAGGTCCGTTTGGAGATTGAGGCTGAAACAGATCGTGTTACTGGCTCCAACAAAGGGATTTCCCCTGTGCCCATCAATCTTCGAGTCTACTCTCCCCATGGTGAGTCCTAATGCAGCATCTGAGTCAGCAGAGAGATGAGGCAGGCTGGTGCTTTGTCATGAAATAGACGTAGAGCAGAGGTGAAATGGGGAGCGTGCTTGGTTTTGACTTTAATCTCCATGTGCTGTGCCATGCTACGTCAAACCATTAGCCCTGAACATACTGCTAAAAGAGGCTTATCTGCCAGCTCAAGGATCTGACTGCTGGCAGAAACAACTGATACCTGTGCAGAAGGTTTTTCCTGAGGTTGTTCTTTTCTATCAGTATGGGCATTCCACTGAAGAGCTGCTCTCTGATACTGCTTTACAGGGCAAATAAATGGAACAACAAATAAAAGAGAAATGGGGAGAGTAGCTTCCTTGAAGAGCACTTCTGCTTGCGTGTAACTATGCACCTTGTGTAGTTCTTTCTGTGTAGTGCCTATGGCAAATGCTGCTGATCTCAGTGGAAGAATTCTGGGCAAACAGGGGAGTGACATAGTCCCAAATTGGCCATCTCTTTAACTGTGAGCAACTCTGGGCATTCTGGAAGGCAGCAGCTCAGTGCTGTGTGTTTTCTCTCAACAAGACAAAGTTAGAGGTCTGCATATTGTAGTCCTGCAGGAGAAGGCCCAGCTGACTTTGAAGGAACCTTCCTTGAATAAGGATGGCAGGACTGAGTTCTTCAATACTGGGGACAGCTCCTAATGCATGGAACCAATTCTTCTGAATCTCCAGACTTTGCTATAAAGTAGAAAAAAACCCTGTACTGTTCTTCCTTCCTGTTCAGTATCGTCTATATGGAAGGACTTTGAGGACACAGTTTTCCTGATCAGGGTGGATACAAGTAATTTGAAAGGAAAGGTGATGACATTGACAATCACAACTAGTAACAGTAGCAACAAGATTTTACTGAGCAGTAACAGAATTAGAAAGCTGTGTGCATCTGTTATGCATACTTGAGACACTAAAGCTACAGGTGTTTACTTATAGACCAGAACATGCTTATCTGAACACTCCCTTGTGCTGTCTTCTGTTTCCTATATCTAGTCCTGAACCTGACCTTGGTGGATCTACCGGGTATGACCAAAGTCCCAGTAGGGGACCAGCCCCCTGACATTGAGTTTCAGATCCGAGATATGCTCATGCAGTTTGTCACCAAAGAGAATTGCCTCATCTTGGCAGTATCTCCAGCCAACTCTGATTTGGCCAATTCTGATGCTCTGAAGATTGCAAAGGAGGTGGATCCTCAAGGTAAGTATCTCTTATTTAGGGTGACATTACTGAATAGTAGCCTGATTTTTCCCTTTACCTTTTGGTTGTGATTAGCTCAGTAGCTCTGAGCTCCTGTCTGTTGTCTCAGGTTGTATCTTCGCCAGCACACATTCTTCTGAGAGGTGGTGGTGTGAGTTGTCAGCTTGGGCAACCTGTAAGCTCTGTAAGCAGAGGAAAATATTAAGTTGTTTGCTTGATCAAGTATGTCTCTTTTTTTTCCTTAGGGCAACGCACTATTGGAGTCATCACTAAGCTGGATCTTATGGATGAAGGCACTGATGCACGAGATGTATTAGAAAATAAATTGCTTCCGCTTCGCAGAGGTATGCTTCCTCATGTTCATTTCCTTCCTCTGTTTTCCCTGTGTGAGGTGTCCTGGCCTCATCCTCTTCCTCCAGTGCATCCCCTTCCTGCAATATCTATCACAACTTGTGGTTAAGCCATTTCTGTTCTAGGCTGGAACTGAGAAAAGTCAGGGACTGGACTGCTGATAGCAATTCTTTAGGTATTTGTACTTAGACATGTAGTCCTAGCAGAAGCACAACCTTATGGTCTTATCTTTACTTTCCCTTCGCTTTTACTAAGGCAAGCTGCAAAAAAATGAAACTCCTGTCTAAAAGACTCCTCATCTTTTATCTAGAATGCAGTTGCTACATCAGATGAAGTAATTTTGCACTGTGGAACATGCTGTGTTAGCCGTAGTGAAGTACCTGTCCTAGGGCTTCTAACAGAAGTCTCAAATGAATGAGGCTAGGGAATGCTTTGTGGCTGGGGGAAAACTTAGTAAGTAAGCTAATTCTCAGTTGCACAGTCATTTCTGTTCTGCATCCCCAACCATGCCATTCAGAGGAAATCCTAGTTTGAAACTACTAGAATTCCCCTGTTGCAGTGTTGCCAGCTGGGTGACTTCCTTCTTAGTCTGAGTCCCATTTGCATTCTCCTCCTTGCAGCCATCTGATCTCTTAACTGTGCTCTTACAGGTTACATTGGTGTAGTGAACAGAAGTCAGAAGGACATTGATGGCAAAAAGGACATTCAAGCAGCTCTGGCTGCAGAGAGGAAATTCTTTCTCTCCCACCCGGCCTACAGACACATGGCTGATCGCATGGGAACCCCTTACCTGCAGAAAGTATTGAACCAGGTACTGTCAACAGTTAAGAACTGCTGCCCACTATGTCCTAGGAATGGCCATCGGGCCTCTTCTCAGATAGAAGTGCCTGCCTTGTTATGAATATTGATACACAGTGAAAAATACTAAGGTCAGTTACAGAGCTTACACACGAGAGGCAGAGCACTGCTTTATGCTCTCAGTAACACTGGTGCAAAATCAGTAGTTGGTGCATCTGCACTATCTATCAGAATGCAACATCTTTCTGGTTAAGCTAAAAGATGCCTTCTAAATTTCTAGTGGTCTCCATATCTAACAGTAAGCTGCAAAGATTGATTTTTAAATATGATACTTATAGTCATTTTCCAGTCTATTAAGGCTATCTTGTCTCCTGTCTTATACAGTAGCAGTGTATTTTTGCTTTCCTCTCTGCTCCCTTGAAATGCTTCCTTAAGTGAAGAATTGCACTGGGGTTTTTTCCACCTTATTTAAATAATCTTTAAACTGGAATTTTCAACAGCTGTGCTCTGTAGAAACCCTCTTATTAGAGCCTTATCAGTGGTTTTGGCTCCTGCCTTGCCTTGAAGTGTTTATTGTTGTAAAAGGGTTTAACCACCACCTTTGGTGTCAGCGGTTTGCTAATCTGAAGATGGGGTAGTCTTTACCTGTATTAGCTAATGCTAATACTTGCATGTGAAACTTATTCTTGAGGTGGAGACAGCAGGCTTGTGTGAATGGGAGTTTTGTACTAGACTAGAAGGTAAAATGAAGGGGATGAATTAGAGGGGTGCAATAGGTAGGAGCTGGAGAGGCAGGATAGACAACTCATAACTGGTATCTGTCCTGGGATAGATTTGCTAGGACCGCTCAGAAGGATTGAGCACAGAAGAAAGGAGCATTCCTCTTTTATTCTGTGGTGTGGAGGTACCAAACTCATTCCAGTAACCACCCAGAGGTTTATTATCACCTTCAACCTTTTTCTTGTGTAGCAATTGACCAACCACATCCGTGACACCCTGCCAGGCCTGCGCAACAAGCTCCAAAGCCAGCTTCTCTCCATTGAGAAGGAGGTGGAGGAATATAAGAACTTTCGTCCTGATGACCCTGCTCGCAAGACCAAAGCTCTGCTTCAGTGAGTGGCCCCAGTGGCAAGTCCCTCCCTGGAGATGACTGCTAAGCCATGACTTCTACTTAATGCCTTGTGTTTTCTTTCAGGATGGTCCAGCAGTTTGCTGTGGACTTTGAAAAACGCATTGAAGGCTCTGGAGACCAAATTGATACCTATGAGCTGTCAGGAGGAGCTAGGATTAACCGCATCTTCCATGAGCGTTTCCCCTTTGAGCTGGTGAAGGTACTGTTGCCCTGTGCTGCTGAGATCCACTCTGTGATCTTGCCTGTTTTACCTCTTCTGTCTCCTTACTCCTCTTGGTATCTTTCATCATCTGTCTTTCCCTTTTGAATACTTTGTTTCATGGTATTCCCTTTAGCACTGCTTTTATTAATTTGGCTCCTTTATTAGAGCCTTCTTACACTTCTGATCTTTCCCTCAGTCCCCATCCTTGTGACAAAACTTAACCTTCTCTTAAATTACAGTATTTGTCTTAATTTCTAAATGCTAAATTAAATGTGCAAAATAACTTCCACACAGCAGTAAATCGGTGAGTAAATGTTCTTGCAGATATGTTGTGTCAGAGCTCCTTTGACTGATTTCACATGGTATGAATGGTGCTGAAACTTGTACTTCCTTGGTCCTGGGCACCAGACTAGAGTTAGAGTTGCCCTAATAAAATATGCAAGAAGCTGGAAAGAGGATGTAGATACAGCTGGGATGACTTCTGTCTGTTCCCTGTCAATGGCCTAGAGGTGGGAATAGTGGAGAAACTGCTCTACTGTCGTAAGAGTTAAAGAGGATTTTAATTGAATTATAGTTTCTTTGGATGGCAAAGTGCACTAACCTGATCAGATTTGTCTGCATTTTGCTTCTTTTTCTGCATTTGAATAAGATGAGGCCTTTTGATGTGAAATACAAGAGTCTGCCTTGTATTGGGTAATACATTTTTGTATGTGAATTGTAAATATCTGGTGTTCACTGAAAAAAAAATCTGCCAAGACCTTGGGCTGAATCTTGGGAGACAGAACTGTGGTTTAGAGAGCAATCTAGCACTTCAGTCAGATTGCTTTATCTCAGCAAAGCTCCTTGAGAGCTGCTGGGGCTTGGCATCTGTAACTGTAGGCCCTCAGCTATTTGTATTTGTCCAGCATGTCTGCATTGGCAATAGAAGCTTTAGGGCTGAACTCTGTATCCAACACTTGGGCTAATATCTCATCTGTCACATGATAGTGCTGGCGTGGGACATCTTCTCTTGTTGTTGTGGATCCTGGGGTTGCGCAAATAAGCGTCAGACAGTTTCTGATCAAATTCTCTCTTGGTGCAGATGGAGTTTGATGAGAAGGAGCTGCGGCGGGAGATTAGCTATGCCATCAAGAACATCCATGGTATCAGGCATGTATCACGCACTAGGCAGACCATTGGCTGCATAGCCTTGTAAATACCTCTAGACCTTCTGAATGGAGTTGAAGACTTCAGAGGTACGGTAGGTCAGCCAAAGGGGAGGGATAATCTCCTTGGACCACCCCAGTAGCTTGAATCTGGGAGTAGGAGCAATCATCCAAGTCAGTTTGCTTTCTCTTCCCATGTGAGAGTCGCAGAAGGCTAAAAGGTAAAATTGCCTTGAAGATGAGATTTTCACCTTCCTTCTTGTGTCTTGACATAAAGAATAGAAAGAAGGATACAAGTCCATGGTACTCTTTCATATAATTAAAACTAAACTGTCCTGGTGACTGAGGTGAAATGGTGGCCTGGCCTTGGCTGTCCAGCTGGGATCAGTTCTGCCTTCAGAATCTCCCTCCTGTGAGGTGCCAAGCATCCCCCATTTTCCATGGAGTCCAGTCAGGGCTTGTCCAAGGGGATGTGACGTTCACTCCCAGCCCCATGTGCCGGGTTTCAGTGATGGTGGTGCCTGCTCCAAGATGTGTGTGTAATGCTGTGACATTCTCCTTGCCCCTTCTCCCCCTCCTGCTTTCTCTTGTCCCCACCCTGGGTGTTTAGAACCGGTCTCTTCACACCCGACATGGCCTTTGAGACCATTGTGAAAAAGCAGGTGAAGAAGATTAAAGAACCTTGCCTGAAATGCGTGGACATGGTCATTTCGGAGTTAATCAATACTGTTAGACAGTGCACCAAGAAGGTAACCAGAGGCAGCATGGAGTTGGCACCTTCCACCCGCTCGCTGGCTGTGGCGCAGCATTGTGACCTGGGCAGGGACTTGCCTGCAGCCACACTCGGTGTTTCTAACCACCTCCTCAGCATGACTAGACCTGAGCGGTACCAGCCTGGAACGATCCAGCCAACAAGCCAAACAGGAAGGGAAGTGCTGTGGGACATGGGCCATGGCCTTTTTGAGCTGAGGGGTGCTGGAGACATCCCTGCTACCCATCTGTAGCATAACTCCTAATTCCTTCTAAAACATAGGGTATTTCTTATGTGGCCACATTTGACTTTAAATTTAGTATCTGGGTTTATTTTCCAAGGCAGAAACTGGGATTTAAATGTTGTCCCCTCTGTTTTTGTAGAAGTGAGAGGGTTAATCCCAAACTAGTCTTTGGGTGCTGCTGGGGACAAGTATGGGGCTGAACTTCAGAGGCTGCAGCAGTTACAGCTGTGGGCTGTGTCACAAGGAACCATTCCTGTGATGTTTGGCTTGGTTTCTGGTTGGCTTGGTCCATACCCTGTTCTGGTACAGCAGCACATGGCTGAGAAGAAGCAAGTTAGAAATGTCCATCAGTCTCTGTGGTCCTCCTGATATCAGAGAGAGGGCTTCAGGTTTTGCTTTTTGGGATCCATACTGGTATTTGTTGGGGCTGAGGGAGGGAAGCTGCCTTGATTCTCCCCTTTGGATATGGCAGTTCTTGGGTTTCTGTGGTTGGGGTTGAAAGGCAGCAAGATAAGATGGCTTGTGTCATTCCTCTCAGCCATGGCTTGCTGCTTCAGGCAGGGCTAGGTGCTGGTGGAAAGGCACCTCAGTTAGGATGATGGTGTGGGCACTGGAGACTGGAATCGCCACTGGCTATTATGGTGCAGGTAAATGGGCATTGCAGGAGGTGTCTGGAGAGTCTGACACCCTGTCTTTGCAAGGGTGGGGAAAGGTGCCCAAGTGGTGATACTTGCCACTGCTTGGAGGAATGCCTAGTCCTTAGGGCCAAGAGCCTCTACAGAAGGGCTCAGGCAAGCAGGCACGTGCTTTGCCCCCCAGGACAGACTGGGAAAGCAAAGTGGATGCAGTGAGAGAGTGCTCAGGTTTCTAGAGTGCTGGAGGAGCTTCCTTTTTCCTTCCTGCTGTCATCTCCTGGGGTGTGTGACTGTGGGGAGCACCCAGAAAATTGCCATTAGAGCCTGGCGACAGGTAAGCAGAGGCCCTCAGGCTGCCAAGTATCCAGAGTCGCCTGCTAACTGGATCAGAAGGGCCCTCCTTTTTCATGCCCTCTGAAGCTTCTCTTGATTTGTTCTCCATTCCTCAGTTGCTATAACAAATCTCCCATTCATTCTTTCTCTTTGCATCCTTCTTTCCATTTTCCATGTATTTTTTTTTTCCACTGTTCCTTTTTGCTTCCTCTTTTACTGATAATTTCGGAATAGACCATCTGTTCTGACAGCACAGGTTCCTCAAGTGATCAGGTGGTGGGTAGCAGGGTGGGAAATAAGGGATGGGAAGAAGCCATGGGATGGGGGGAAGTGTCACAGATTCAGGATTAAAGCATTCCGTTTTAGCTCAGCTCCTACTGCAATGAATTTGATGGTTTACCTCAGTGCTAGGGTGTGCTCTAGTAGCCATGGCTACAGATTTGTATTTGAAGAAAGAAAATACTGTGATTCAGGTGATGTTCAGGTACTGGAAGCTACTGATATATTAAAGATGCTTGGTTTTGTGCAGAGCCCTCCATGTCTGCTGCGTAAAACAGGTATTATTGAGCTTAGCAGGGCAAGTGCATTAGTAGAAAACTGTTGTTGAGTCAGAGGTTGTGAACGTTGGAAATGCCCTTGCTTTGCTCAAAAGAGGCATTGTTGGCACCTTGAGAGAGGTCCTTGCGTGAAGCTGAGTCCTGCAACACGTTCCAACTCTTTGCTGCTTGGAAGAGCAGCTAGTTGTAGATATTATAATAGTTGTTGGTCTTACAAAAACTAGTTGTAGGTTTTACAATACGTGCTGGGGAGTGTTTTAATAGTGCTGTTATTGCTTGGGGTCTTGCAGGTGTTATCCACAGAGGTGTGAAAGATGAAGATCAAGTAACTCGGTCTGTGTAACAAAGAGCATCCTGGTAGAAGATCTGAAGTGTTAAAGTTGTGCTGAAAAACTTCTTTGGGTACAATAGTCTTGAATTAATCTGGGCCATATTTTAGTAATTTTAGTTTCTATGGAATTCCTGCCTTTTCATAGTGGGGCCATTGTGAATACAGGCCACTGGGTATCAGTGGAAATTAATGCTTCCTTATAAACCTCAACTGGCCTGTATTGGTCTGATGCTACAGCTTACCTGGGGCAGAATGGATGCTTTGTATAGCTGTGGGTGCCCTGTAGTATGTTTGCATTTGCCTAAGTAACTGGGTGTATCTGTTCTGAAGAAGTTAATGTTGCAGGGAAGGTGAGTGAAATGAAATGAAATATGCTCAATAAGTGGAGCAGGTTGAATCCCTGCAACTGAAAGCCACAAATTCAGTTCAGTTCTGCTACAGCAAGATGTGACAGACCTTAACAAGTCTTAACTTGGATCCTGTTCTGGCTTCCTGCAGCTGGAATAAGGGAAACATGAAGAGGAGATAACTGTGGTGGGAAGGGGAGTGCCTGAAGCAAAGGGAAATGAGACCAGGTGAGCCTCTAGAAGAGAGGCAGTGGCTCACTGGCAAGCAGCTTTGTCTTAAAATCCAAAGAAGCTTTCCTTCTTGAGGAGATCACTTGATCCCTGGGGGGTTCCATCCATTCATCTTGCTCTTGACAGCTCACCATTTCACTGGCCCAGCCGCTCCTACCGCATTCCCCTTTGCCACTTCCATTTGCCTGTAGACTCTCCTGATACTTGGCAGTGCACAGGCCCCATAGCAATGCTCACCTGGTTCAATAAACTAATGGAATGAACCAAAAATCTCACTTCTCATTTTGCCTTGTGTTTTCTCTCTTTCCCCCCCTCTCCTTCCTTCTCTTTTTTCCTCCTTCCCACTCTTTCTCTGCTTCGCTTTCTTCTTCCTCGTTGCTTCCTCCCACCCTGCCCCTGCCATGCAGAACGGGTCTCTTCACGCCTGACCTCGCTTTTGAAGCCATAGTGAAAAAGCAGGTGCAGAAGTTGAAGGAGCCGAGTCTGAAGTGTGTGGATATGGTAGTGAGTGAGCTCACATCCACCATCAGAAAGTGTAGCGAAAAGGTAAAGAAACAAAACACGCAAAGAAAGCCCGCTCCGTTCCCACACACTTCCATGCGCTTTCTCCGCATGCACCCCTGGGAACTCCAGCAAAGCTAGAGAGAGGAAATGGGTATAAAGATGTAGCTGAAGGAAAGCAGCAACCTGCAGGTGTAAGAGCAGTTTAAAAGCAGGCCCAGGGAAGCGAGCATCAGCTGCTGGGCTCTTGAGCTGGGATCTAGCAGATTACTCCAGCATACACTTTCCCTCTGGCTGGCTCTGTAGTATACACCTCAGTGTGAATCAAACCCTTTGTAAGCCCTGTTTCTGGGCCACTGCCTGCACATTTGGAATGTCTTTTTTGTGAACCCCCTTAAAAAGTCCATATACTGCAGAAAAAGCTAAAATGCCAGAAAAGAGCTCACATCCCCCAGCATGAATGGTCTGCAGGTTTCCATCTTGTCTGCAGAGCTGCGTTAAGCAGTATCATATACAAAACAGTCAGGTTTTGAGGTGCAAGATGTTCTGCAAGAGATACTCAGAGTCAACAGAAGGTGACTGTCCCAAAAGGCTTGGGGAATAGCTTTTCCAGGCATTACACCCTCTGCATCATTCTCCTGCTGATCTCTCGCTCCATGACCTATGCTCAGTTGGAGGTAGTGTGGATACTTCTCCTTGTATGCTGTGAAGCACAGGAGGTGAAGCCTTAGGCTAGGAGAGGGCAGCAGTAGGTGGAGAGGGAAGCTGCCCCAAGTGATGTGGAAGGTGTTAAATAGTGCTTAGAGACTGGGGCAGGAGTGGGTTTGTTTCCCGGGCTGGTTTCCTCCAGGAGAGGGCACCACATGCCTCCATAAAAGAAAAAAAGGCAGTTGTGGCAATTGGTGTTAACCACACCAGTGAGGAGCCAGAGACATCTGTGGCACAAGAGGAGTATGTTCTGGAAGCTGAATTGGAAAGAGCTGTTTCATGGGTTATTTTAGGGCTTGATAATTACAGTTCTCTTCTTGCAGGGTTGCAGCCAGACTCACCAATGTATACCCCTAAGCTGGGAAGGAAGGCAAGATAAGAATTGATACGAGTTCAGAGTGAAGGCAAGAGCTGAGCTCATAAGGTCTGGTTGTATGTAGGAATACAGAGCTCACCACTGCTGCTGTTAAAGGTGACATCTTAGACTGGGCAGAGCTCAGGGCATGTCTGTCTCTTGCTGAGTCCTGCTGTTGCCAGATTGTGAGGGCTGATGTGGCAAGGCAGAGTAACTCCTTTCCAAGCCATTTCTCTTTATTTGATGGGTTTGGTTGTTGACAGTCTTTTCTGTATCTGGCTGGAGATGTCTGCTCTGGGTGGGGAGGGAGAAGGCTCATGAAACCCCTAAGGCTGTTGAATTCCGGTTTCTCTGTTGGATGACGTCTTTAGAAGGGCTGGATACCCACTTGCGCTGTGGATTATAACCTGTGATATTGTGGAGGACCACATGAGGATGTTCCAAGGTGATGCAACCAAGGAAGGTGATAGTAGCAGTAACACTCTAAGAGACTAATAGCTGTAATAAAAGGCAGAGAGGCCAGGGAGGTAAATGTTAGAGATGTGAAATAACTGAATGGAAATATGTAGCAACAGTACTGGAACAGTACTAGTGCTTAAAGTCAAATGTCTACATGTATTAGTAAGGTTAATCTTGCCTGTATCTCCCCCTGGAAGAGTAGAAGGGAACTGCCATAGACCATTTTAGGATAGCAGCCAGCCTGAGATGGGTCTGATAGCATAAGGTAGTACCAGCACAGGAACATAAGTCAATTTGCAATATTTATCTTGCATGTTATAGCCCTGCTTGATGTGGATAAGAGCATGTGCTATTTAGGGAAGACACCTGGAAAAGGCTACATGAGGACTGATGCTAATTGTAAGGTAATACCCAGCCTCCTGTGGTGCAGACTGATGCTGCCTTTCAGATGACAAAACCAAACCTGTAAACTCACTAGAAGCTCTGCAAGGCTTCTTGAAAGGAAGATCACTTGGGCTAACACCTCTTGAATTAGCTTAACAGTCCTGTAGCCTTGGTTTGCTGCTGACCTGAACTATTGTGTGTTGTTTGTGTGGTGTCACAATTATTTCATTTCACCCCAGATGGTGAGGAAATCTTTGTATGTGCAGCTGATAAAGCTGCATTGATGCAATAATATGAGACTGTCAATAAAGAACATGGAGGGCGGCAAACCCATCTGTTGTCTACAGAAGTAACAGCTTTCCTGTGTGAAAAGAGACTTGCAGTTGACTATTAGACAAAGTTGAGACCTGAAGAGAAGGTAGCCATTACCAGCTGTTCTCTGGGCTGATTCTGAGCTGCTTCCAGTTGGTTAAATGGAGAGTAGCTCCAAAATCAGCAGAAAGCTGGTGTAAGATGTAAGACCTTACGTTTAGGAGGATAATGTTCTAGCTAGTGTTTTTCCAAAAGCAGGAACCTTCTGTGCCAGACTGCACTGCAGCATCTCACAAGTGCAGGAAGATCTTGCAAGTCAGCAGCCTTCAGCTAAAGGTTGCTCTTTGATGTGTTGGCAAGGTCTCCTGGAATCTGCAAAGAGGGGGAACTAAGGAACATTGGGACAAATTGGTTTTCAAAGAGGGCTGTAAGCTTGTAGTTTGATTAAACGGGCAAATGCAGCTAAAACAGGATTGAAAACCCAGTTGAGCTGGGACATGATCCCAGGCTGACAGACTTAACCCCTTGAAGGGTCGCCTGCTCTCCTGTCTTTCAGAGTCATGGCATTTCTGGGTGCTGTTTGTTCTGCTGGTGATAACTCCCTGCCCCTCTGTGCCCTCTTGCATGTTCCCTGGTGGTGTGACATCCTGTGGCTGCCTGTGTCCTCTTCCCTTGCCCACCCTTGCTTCTCCTGTGCATGCTTGGGGTTGCAAGCTCCTGCATGGGGACTGATGCTATTGATTTATTTTTTTGCACATGAACGTTGCTGGATTTGGACCTGGGTTTGGAGTAAACCCCAACTTGGTTTGCACTTTGTGGGCATTTCTACTGGTTGGGAGTGGGGCGGGAGGGGGAAGGTTTGATGTGTCTTTTATTTGACTTTTTTATTTAATTTGAAGCAAAGAAGCTGAGATTTGCTTAGAGGTTTTCCAACTTCCTGTTTTTGTTTGACATAACTTGCCCATCTATCCTTTGCCAACCCCCAAAGGAAACAGGAAGCTTTGCCTGTGTGTCTCTGAAGCAACCAGCTGCCTAAACCGTCAGGATCATGGAGAACACCCAGTTTGTGCTTTCAAGACAAGGTGGTGGTGGGGAACACCAATTCCATTTGTTTTTTCCTGCCTCTGCAGGGTCATTGGTGTCCAAAACAAACCACACATCTGAAAATAGGCAGTGTCAAAGCTAGGGCTCAGTGTCAGTTCCAGGCTATTGCGATTACTTGACTGCAAAAGTGCTGGGAGGGTTTGAGACTATCTGTAATCAGATGTTAGCAATATTGATAGTTAATGTCAGATCTGGCTTCCAGGAGCGATGCTGCACGCTTTGAGCCAGTTCCTTCTAACACCTTCTGACTGCTTACGTGTACAGAACAAAAAGCCAAACCAATTTAAGCAGCTCCTCTCATGTAAATTGAAGGAACAAAATGCAGTATAGATTATAGGCAAATGAAACTTCTTTATATACTCCCCTTAAGGGGGTATAAAAGACTGATATTAGGAAATGCTGCTTGACATTATAGTCAAATTAGAGGTAATATTAGGGAAAAAATGGGGGAAATGAGATTGGTGGGGGATAGGAAAAGTGAGGAAGAACAGGCTGGGTCTGGAGGATTAATCTCATTTGCCTATACTGGGCCTGACCTGAGAAGCATACAGTTACTGCTACTGAAATCACTAGAGGCTTATGAATGTAGGCAGGTAGATAGGTGCTGTGTGAAACCCAGAGGGCTTTAAGGGTGCTGATTCTGGCAGTGTCTCTTGTGCATGATCTCTGTAGATAATTCTTCTTTTGAATCACAGCTCATAACATCTTTGTACTTCTCTGTCTGGGCAGGGAAGTAGGAGGATTTCCTCCTCAGTAACATGGCAAAAACTGTGGTATAGGTGTGATGTGAATACAGACCTCAGCTATGTAATCCTGCCCCAACACACATGGAGAGCAGGTAGAAGCAGCTGGATGCCTAGAGCAGTGTTTCTTGAAGACATGTACCCTTGAGTTGGTCACATCCTGTCTCTGCTTACAGATGTTGGAGAGGGCCAGATGCTTTCACATAGAACCTTATCAAGTGTGGATTGAAATCCACTTCATTTCTCAGGGTGACTTTCTGTAGTATTTACAGGTTATAGCAACAGGCCATTCACCTACTTAGCCCGCTACAGTGAGCATTTACATCTAGGGTTTATCAAGTAGGTCATGCCAGGAAGAGTGTGGTGAGTTTGGAGCAGGCCTCCAGTGAGGCAGGAAGGTTGCTGCAAGAGTGCAAAGGGTTTTTTCCTGAAGCCCAAACCAAGAGGGGAATGAACTTTGCTCCCAGCAGACCTCCAGGAACTTGGAAAACTTTTCTGCAAGTCCAGCTTTCTAGAACTTCCCTTGACAATACCTGATCGCAGGTGTATGTATGCATGCCTGTATGTGGGGGGCTGCTCCCCACTTCACACCTCCCTTTCCCATGTGCACGTGTTTTCTCTCTCCCGCAGCTCAGCCAATACCCTCATCTGCGTGAGGAGATGGAGAGGATTGTCACGACTCACATCCGAGAGCGAGAAGGCAGGACCAAAGATCAGGTAGGGGATCAGGGGTGTGTATAAGAGGGGAGGTTGGGGGTGTGGAATGGGGACACCTTTGAAGGGCCAGTCTAGGCTAGAGGGGCTTGAGCCAAGTGGTGTCTGGCTGCAGAGGACAATCAGGTGAACAATGCCCAGGGCTCTGTCCCTGACTATTAGCAGTGCAAATCACTGATGTCTGTCTTGCTCTGTGCCTCTCTTTGGCAGGTCATGCTTCTAATAGACATCGAGCTGGCTTACATGAACACAAACCATGAGGACTTCATTGGCTTTGCCAAGTAAGCACCCACAGCCTATTGCCTCCTCTTGACTGTATGTGTTTCCTGAGACTCTGTCCTAATAGCTGCTCCAGTAAATGGGTTGCAAAAGCCCTGGTGCGGATGCTGTGGTCCCAAAGTATGGCTCAGCTCTCAGTATTGCTTGGTTTTCAGTGGCTCTGTATTACAAGGCTGAGAAGGAGAACAGGGATTTAAGAGTATTACGGTTGTCAGGGAGGAAGAAGCAGAAGCTGTGGAGGGTTAGTGACCCAAGTGTGGTTCAGGTGGGGGTGTAATGAGTTGACCATGCTGAGAGAGCAGATGGAAATAGATTGGGTTATCAAGGCTTGGAATCCAGTGGTGAGGTGCATGAACTCACTGTAGCAGCAGTCTGATGGGAGCAGGATTCAGGTGATCAAGAGCCTGGGGGGTTTTGAATGACTCTGCTGTTGTTTGCAGTGCTCAGCAGAGGAGCAGCCAGATGAGCAAGAAGAAGGCAGCTGGCAACCAGGTAGGCCAAGTTCCATCTCCTTCACTGCTGCAAGAAGGGCATGTTTGCTACCTGGAAGCTACCAGGTAGACAAGTGCTGGGCTGGATGCAGCAGTGCTCTAAGTTGTTGTTTTTATTCATCAAACTCCATTTATACCCAGAAAATACTGGTTTAGACTCACTGCAGTCAGGAAGAACTGAGCATGTAGCACCAATGGAGGGCAAGTATTGTAGAGAGAAACGATGCTTGATCATCAAGCTCTGGTCTTGCTTTTTCTGGTAGAAATCCCTATTGATGCTGTGTAAATCCCTGTTAGTTTAGCCCCTTCACTAGCTGTGCTCACTCCTCTGTTGAAGTGAGGGGTACAGAACACTAGGTGTGAACTGTTGCAGTACAGAATTGTCTGTTCTAGTTGTCTTTCCCACCAGTGGTACCTACTTTCTAGAAAGGGATTTCAAGAGAGTTTATGGACTCTGTTCTGGAGAACTTCACTGGAAGTACTTAAATCTCTGTACGGGGAGACAAAGGGTGATTATAGCCATGGTTGCATGGGGTATGTATGAGAACACACCCATGGGAGAAGACAGCAGCGGAGGGGAGGAGTTCCCTTATTCCCTCTGGAACTGTAAGGAATTAGGAAACTCAATTGAAGACAATTGAAAAGGAGCTAATGATACTTTCTCCCAGATTTGCTGGGGGCATGGCAAGGCTGTCTAGGCTAGAAGATCTTGTAGAAACACAGTCTTACGAGCAGCTTCATGGAGAATGGAAGCAAATGCTTTTGTTCAGTCCTTTTAGAGATATTCACTCCTGATGTCCATCCTCTTTATAACATGTTTGACCACCTTTCCCTGCACATAAACATGCAGATGGTTTTGGTACTGTTGGTGGGCCAGCAGGGGAGCAGCTTGGGCTGGCCAACCATCCACCCCATGGGATCTTGGAGCAGCTGTAAGGAACCCCATCCTCTGCAGTACAACTGACAGAAGAGCTGAGTGTAAAAGAGTGCAAAGGGCAAACTCTGGATGTACCTGTAAAGCGCTTTGGCTTTCCCATTAGCAGACTTTATTTTGGGATGGGGGTTGCTTTTGTTAACATCTGGGGTAAAAAATTTGGTACCAGCTTCCAGTTTATTTTATTTTTGAGCCTCTCCTCCTGCTCCAGCTTTCCTAGTAACAATCTCTCCTCTCTTTGCTCCTCTCCTGCTCTCTGCTCTGCTGCTGTTGCTATGGTTCCCCTTTGCAGGATGAGATCCTGGTGAGTAGAAGGCCACTCAGCAGGGTGTGCTAATGAACATTAATGTTGCATCTGGGAAGGCAAGAACAGTGCATAAGCAAATTATTCCCTCTGCTGCTGAATGGGGAGAGGAGGGCAGCTGGCACTAGACACAGGTGAAGCAGAAATGAGGTTGGAAGGTCGTATGTTGAGGAAGAACTCAGAACTGCTGGTACATCTTGTGAGTGGGTGGAGATAAAAAGCAGAAATCCATGGATGTGTGGTTCTGTTTCACTGCCCCCTCCTGTCCGTAGAGAGAATAGGACTGCCTCGAACTTAACTGTAGGCATGAGATGAAGATCCAATGCCCCGAAGTTTACCTTTATAGGATAAATTGACAGTTAAAAGGACTGTGTACCTCTGTGGTAGGCTGCTCACACGGTGCAACTTGCTACTATGCAGTGCAGTTGTATGTTTTATTTCAAAGCCAGGTTGTTTTCACCTAGCACATCCATACAACAAGGTACACACACAATGCATCCAGATGCTTTTGGGTGTTAACAGTGCAGCAGTACATAAGAAAACTAATGCATTTAAGCTGATGCATACTTGCATTTGATTACTGCAGGTGTGAGGCTCTAAACCAGCACTTGGTGAACCAGAGTTTCCTAGAGAGGAAACCTGGCTTCTTTACACACGAGACCTAAAAGGAGCTTGTTTTGCCCTAAATTAATGACTACTTCAATACCTGGGTATACAGAAGTCCAGGGTACTAATTCCAGATGCACCGTTTTGTTCTGTTATACTTAGTGTTTCCTTTTACTAAACTCAGTTCTTTCTGGGTTGCTTGCCCATTTCTTCTTGCCCCAACCCCTGAGTTGAGTGAAGCACTCCACACGCTCAGTGTGCCCAAAGGTGTGCTGGCATCCTGCTTCTCTCTAGGCATGGCCTTTTCTGGGTGTGTTGCTGTGATCTGGTGTTTGTAGGTTGTGCCAGTATCCGAGGCACTCTTGATGCACTTCTTCCTGCATCTCTTTCCTCTTGGCAGGGGGTATAATGCACAGCACTGCCAGGCTCCTTCCTGCGTCCTTTTTATACTATTCCTGGCCCTTCTAAGGTGAAGACCTTCACTGGCCAGTTGAGTGGGGGGCTCTTCTGGCAGCAGCAGAGAGCATGGTGTTCCTTGTCTTTCCATACTACTCTGTGTGTAGGGTTACCCTCTGATCTTTCCTCTGTCACCTAAAGCCAGGCTTTTAGGGCACATGTTAATGCTTACTGCTTCTGCCCCTCTAGGTCATCCGAAAGGGCTGGCTCACCATCAACAACATTGGGATCATGAAAGGTGGCTCCAAGGAGTATTGGTTTGTCCTGACAGCAGAGAACCTCTCCTGGTACAAGGATGATGAGGTGAGTAGCACAACTTGAATCTTGTGCATCTGATGAGCATAAGGCCTTCAGTTCGCTGGGTGTTACAGATGTGTCTCCTCAGTACTGTCTGCAGCTTGTGACACAAGCTGAAACTGTCCTTGGGGCAGGCTCTGTGGTCTCAGCACTGCTGAGCATTTCTCAATTGATGTGAATGTGGCTTTTTTTGATGCACAAGGAGTAACATCTGTACTTGAAGCCCTGGCTCAGCAGAAGGTTGACAGACACTTGGAATGAATCTGACCTTTATTTGTCTTGCTCTGGCAGCTGCTATTAAGGCTTTGATGGGTTAGTTCCAAGATTTGGACTTTGCCAGCATTTTGAGGAGAGCTGTGATGAGTTTCCTGAAGGAATGTGGCAGAGGTTTTCATGCATCTCTCTCAGTCACAAGAAAGAAAGCATCTCCTTTCTCAGTATAGCAACAGGAGCTATGGACCTGAAGCTGCAGCTCAGATGCTGGCTTCTCCTGACTTGGAGTAATTACTTGCCCTCTCCAGGATTCCATTGTTAAAATTGCAAAGCAGGAATGTCTTTCTTTAATGTTTCTATATTGAACATGCCATTAATGCATTACGTGTAAAACTGTCGAAGTTGTGAATGGTTAGAATACTGCTGATGTAAAGTACAGAGATGTGTAGAATATCACTGATAGGAACATGCCAGAATCCCTAATATTCAGGGGTTTCAAGCAACTCTACAATGTGTTGTGGGGTTTTTGTGCTCTAGTGAGAGATTATTTAAGCAGACAGAGTTGTCCCAACAGAAGTTATCATTGTCAACAGTGTGCTGCTTCCTGTGCCAGACAAAGGTAGATAATTGTCTTTTCTAATGACTTTGAAGAGAGAAAGAATAGCTGGATGGTTTTGGTAAGAACACGATCGAAGGGGTTAGTCCTACTCAATGTGCTTGAGGGATTAAAAATACCTGGTATGATTTTGTCATGCGTTCTGAATTGATGGGGGTTTTTGATTGCAAATGAAGAAACTGCTCTGCCTCTTATTGTGGTTTGTGTCCCTCAGGTGTTCTGAGGTGCACATTAATGTGCCTGGGAGCTGCAGCTAATCCTAGCTTCTTGTCTAGTTCCTATCAGTGGGCCTGTCTCATTCTCAGCAGGTGGAAACGATGACAAACCCAGTGATGAATCAGCCTCTAAATATCACTTTCTGCATGGAGACTGCTGCTGTGCTGCTATGGATGAGCAGGCAGTGATTTCCTAATTAAAGAACCAGGCACTGAAATGTCTTCCACTAAATCAGTGTGTCTCTGCTGTAAGACCCTTGCCCTTTCATTCAGATCTGCTTGGGGAGGCTTTCCTTTCCTTTAGGTTTGCATATGCAGGTCGACTGGTTATAAACATCAAGTAGTTTAATCAAAGCCAGCTGCCACATCTGCATTACAGACATGATCAGAACTCCCTGTCCTTCCCTGGGGAGTGGGAGGGAGGGAGGGCTGCAGTGGGGATGTATAAACTGTTGATAGATTCCAGTTGCTTGGGATGGGGATTAGACCTGCCTTCCCTCCTGAGGGAGGGCAGCCTTGGGGGTCAGTAGCAACTGGAGGTCTGCACTGTTTCCTTTCAGCATAGCAAGAGGTAGAGCTGCCTAATGAAAACAGTTCCCTGCCAGCCTCAGTCCCTTAAACACCAGAGGACCAGTGCTGATGAGGTCTAAGCCGCCTCTGAGAAAGGAGTCTTTGTCTTCAGTGGAGTGGGAGCAGGGGGGAAAGGGAAGCATGTTTTTACTTGCTTCCTCCCCACATTCAACTCCTTGATCATTGACTGTTGTGAGGGAGAAAGGAAGCAACTTTCACCTGGGCTCCGCAGTCATTTTAGGCCAAAAGTTGGTGCATTTGAAGGGCAGCTTGGAGACCTTTTGAGCGTGGTGATTCCCATCCCAAACCTCAGTCCTGCACAGAGTCAGCTCCATTCCAAAGAGCTGTATGCAGTGCATGGTCCCCTTTCAGAGTTACCTTGCCATGTCTGTCCTAGAGCTTTCCTCCTCCAGCAGTTCAGGAGGACCCATGTCCTCTACAGCTCCTGAGATATTCTTGTGTGGTTTTTAAAGGCTGTACACCATGATCTTTCTTCACTTAAGCTCTGGGAGCAAGGGGGGGAGGCTTTGTCTGCTCCACCCTGCACTTCTGTGGGCTCTCTTGTCCCAGTTCCCCTGTGCTATGGCAGCTTTCCAGCAGGAATGAAGAGGGAGGTGAATCCATCTGGTGTGGATGGAGGTGCTGATGGCAGAGCTGTGGGTGACGATGGGGAAAGAAGCAGGGTGAGAAGGTGTGTGGTGGGTGAAGGCTAGGCTAGCACCTCTGTGAGGGGATTGGGGGCACAGCCTCTCCCTGCCCTGTTTTGCAAGCCAGGACCCAGAGCCTGTGGAATGAAGACATCTGGACCCCATTAGTGAAATACCACTCTTTCCGCAGGGCTGGCTTGTTTTTCTTCTGCCTCTGAAGAAAGGAACTGAAACTCAAAATGTCTTAAAGGGCCCAGCATTACATGCTAGCAGGGATATGTGGCTGTGGATGCTCTGGAGGGGCCTGAAGGAGTGTGCTGGGGAGAATGGGAGGGGAAGGAAAGAGCAGACCAGGCGGGGGTGGAAAGTTGGCTCCCCACTCAGCCTCACTGCCAAGAGCATGTGTGTGTGCTCCTGGGCTCTGTTTGTCTTCCTGTCTCCTTCCAATGAGTCAAACGCTGGCCCCATGGAGAGCGGCCCCACAGAAAGCTGGCCTCCCAAGACCTGGAGACCCTCCTGAGGTACCTGCACCTCCTGAACCCTGTGGGATCATGCTGCAGCCAGCAGTGGGAAGGAGAGATGGGGAGGAGCCTGCTCTGGCTGTTGGCAATATAGAGTGAGATTTCCTTTGCTCAGAGAGGCCACAGTGTCCCCAGGGCTGGAGCAGCAGCACAGCACACAGGATAGCTGCTCAGCAAGCTCCATAGTGGACACAGTACAAGAAGCTGATTTGAATAGTCCTTCTGCCTGAATTCCTTACGAAATGCACAGTGCCCACTTCTCTGCAGGGCTTTCCTGCCTGCTGGAAAAGAGGGTCTGTGAGCTGGGCTAGAGCTGCTGCTGCTGAGGACCTTGTAGGCAAGATGCAGTGAGCACTGTGCTCAGCGGTTCCTATTAGTAAAGCTTACTACCTGCTGGAGGGGACCCCTGCGTCGTCTGCTCTGCAAGGGTGACTGTATCTGTTGGAGTGACTGTGCTGGAGTGTTTGCCCAGCTGGGTAGATGGATATACCTGCTGGTTCCTTTGGGAGTTTGTGTGAATGTACAATACAGATGGGACCTTCTGTCCTTACTCAGGTAAATCATGTACTAGAAGGCTGGGACTCGTAAGAACAGGTGACATGAGAAGAATATGGCCTTATTTGCTTGCGTAAAAGTATGTGTTGCATGCAGTGTCGGAGCGTTTGAGTCCTGTGTGTGTGTGCAGGAGGGCTGGGCACAGCGGTTTAGATACTTTCAGGTGCGTGGGGGATGCTTCTTTATACATCATGTTGATTCCTGCTGCAACAACTGTGCTTGAGCTCTTTGATTTCTTGGTCTTCACGCCTTCTCTTTTGCTTGAAGCACAAAGGTATTCTGTCCTGGGAAAGATGTGACCTTACTGGCAGTCACCAAATAGCTGCTTATTCTGTACCTGTCCATGTGCTGTACCCCATTCTAGTTTAAAAATACATTGATCAATACTGAGATTGTTTCCCCACTGCACACATACACACACCCCACTCCCCCCCCCCAGCAGTCTGCGTCCTTGAGGCCCAGCTCGGCTGGCAGAAATCCTTTTCTTTGCTCTGATGCTCACAAATGATCAGAAACTTGCTGATGGGTCTGGCTGCAGCCAGGGCTTTGCAGGAGTAGGTCTGCTCCAAAGCTCTTCCTGCCCTTCTTTCACACTACTCTTAGGTGCTCTCTGGAACGTGTTCCTTCTCTTTACATCCTCTGTGGACCTCTTTCATTCATTCACTCCCTATTTTCACAAGTGCGTATTTTCTCATGGATAATATCTCAATCATTCCTCACTTACTCTTTCACTGTTTCTCTTCTTTCTTTTCCAGACAAACACCAAAGCAAACACAACTTCCAGAGCATCCAAACCTTCACCTTTCAATCCTTTGTGGATTGAAATCCTTCTTTCTATTAATGACCAGCTTTCTTTTAAGATGTGAAATCCCCATTTTCCAGTCACCTTTCTGTTCTTGATCCTGCCTTCTCAGGTACCAAAGCACAGCGTGGTTGTGACTCCCATGTGTCTGTCTCTGCGTTCTATGGCAAAGTTCAGCATGTGAAGCACAAGCCACTCTCAACACAGCTACCTGGGACAAGTGCATGGAACTGAAAGAAATAAGGGGATGAAAGAGAGATGGAGGGAGGAAGGGGAGGGTTGTGAGCAGGCTGGTTGGACAGGCAGGTAAAAGTGGTGATCAAGCATTGCTCCAAAGGGTTATATCCTCCCAGGCTGAGGGATGAGTGGACTTTGCATGCAGCTATGCCCGCAGCCCACCCTCTCCAAGCATGTCCCTCTGCCGTGCAGGTGATGCCGTCCCCGTGCAGCACTGGCAGTGTGAGGTGTATCCCAGCACAGCCTAACCAATGTGCAGACTACTGTACAATCTCGTAGTCCTGAACAGGTAGTCTGAACACTGGGCAGACGGAGTGGAGCCTCTGCAATCTGCTCTCCGGCTATCAGCAGCTCCATTAGTCCTTTTCCCCATCCATGCTTTTGGGATGGGGTTTGGGGGGCAGAGATGGGGTAAAAGAAAGTCCAAGTCGTCACTGAAAAAGCATCCACTTCTGGCAGCTGGGAAGAAGAACTGGTGTTCTCTGCAGGTTTCCACTTTGGAGCAAGCTGCCAAGCTCCTTCCTCTTCCAGTGCTGGTGTCAGGCTGGTACCTGGGGATATGCTGCACCTATATAGAAAGAGAGGAACAAGAAAAGTCAATTCCTGTTGTTTGAGGAGGAAATGCTGTGA